TTAAGACCCACAGAGGACCTAAGCACTTAAAAGTTTTTGGTGGCCCCATATGTATGTAATTCAAAATGTAAACATTATTAAAACACTGACAACCACCAGTTATTAATTGCGATATAATAGGTAACAGTAGGAAAAGACAAAAGCAATGAAATACTAATTGAAAGCTCTTAATTAATTTCTAATTTATGTGGTGCCCCTATTGTCATCGGCTAATCCAGCACTTGGTGTTGGTGGATGTTATATATTACAGTGGTGTAGGATATATACTAATTGTTGCATAATATATTATTACAGTGGTGTAGGGAATATATTATATATTACAGTGGTAAAGGATTATACTAAGTGTTGTATATATTATATATTACAGTGGTGTAGGGTATATTGGAGAAGGGGAATGTTACAGTTTGTGTACTTGTCCAGATAAACTTGATCCACTCTGTGCTATGAATGGAAAAACTTACAGAAATCTGTGTTTCCTAGAATGCGGGTAAACCTTTGCTAATTATTTTGTTTTGTATGTTATACGCCATTGGATGAACTTACACACGGATATCTAGATAGACAAAATAATATTCGTTGCGGTCTACCTAGACTACCAATTGTTAAAGCAATTGTATTTTACGATTATTTTAGATTTAACATCGCTGTGAAAAGGTTGTTTTTATGAGACTATAAACGTGACTATAAAATATATGTGTATTTGTAGAAGTCAAGTTGCCGTATCTGGTGGAGAGTGCCCTAAAGTATGTCCTTGTCCTAGAATATATCAACCTGTCTGTGGTAGTGATGGTAAAACTTATGATAATAAATGTACACTAGAATGCAAGTAAGTATTTTTATATTAAAATTAAAGTTTTTGTCATTTGGGTTTTAATTTTGATTGGTCCACACTGCCAGAAGATTCCGGGTTAAATTTGTTCTTTTCATTAGTCACTGGTCACTTGTATTATTCTTATATTATTTTGTAACAACTAATAACGTTATTGGAATATTTTCAGTGAAGTCAACCAAGCATCTGAAGGAGCTTGTCCATGCGCTTGTCCTAAAATATATCAACCAGTCTGTGGTGCTGATGGTAAAACTTATGGTAATAAATGTGAAATGACCTGTGTGTAAGTTGATTCTGATATTTGGTTGGTTCAATCTGATATTAAGCTAATGTATATGCTGCACTCTACGTGAAATTCGTGTTGACCAAGAATGTCATTCCCTCATTACAAAAACGACTCCATAACGGCTTAAGAATAGACTATTCAGGCGTCATGTTGGTTTCCCGATTTTGGATAGTGAAAACGCAACATTACCTCATTATACATGAACTGATAATCTATAACTTATTATTTATTTGATCGATGGTTCTGGAGTTATTCGTATCACGAACATATCGTAAGCTTCAGAGGAAGTTCGAGATAACGATAGTTAACTGTATATTAACTATTATGTAAAATGTGTTTCAGTGGAGTTGATTTAAAATCAGAAGGTGAATGTCCTAAAGTATGTGCCTGTCAGAGAATATATCAACCAGTTTGTGGTAGTGATGGTAAAACTTATGGTAATAAATGCGAATTGATCTGTGTGTAAGTAGTTTTATATTAGACTTGGAATTTGACCGTTAGTTCATTTCTTTATCAGGTCAATTTTAAATTTGTTCTTCCCAAAGCGAAAGTATCTTGTCCTTTGATCAAGAACCACCGATTTTAGAAATATATTGCAATTTTTCAGTGGAGTCAACCAAGTATCTGAAGGAGCTTGTCCTAAAATATATCACCCAGTCTGTGGTAGTGATGTTAAAACGAAGGGCAATAAGCCGAGATAACGATAGTTAATTGTATATTAACTATTATGTAAAATGTGTTTTCAGCGGAGTTGATTTAAAATCAGAAGGTGAATGTCCTAAAGTATGTGCCTGTCAGAAAATATATCAACCCGTCTGTGGTAGCGATGGTAAAACATATGATAATCAGTGTGAAATGAACTGCTCGTGAGGAAATTTTTAAAATTTATTTGTATTAAACCACTAATGTCCCAATTTAGACATGCGACGAGCTTAAATTTATGTTGTGTTTACGAGTTAACTATGTTATAATTACGAGTTACCTATGTCATAATTACGAGATAACTATGTACACGCTAATTACTTATCATTTCGAGATAACAAAAACATTAAAATATATACCTTTATGTGCGTACGTTATCCTCCATAACGCGATAATCACAATATTCAGTCATGTGCGTACATTAATCGCCATGTTTGGGGAATCGTGAATAGTAATTAGGCAGCGTCTACTTTTTGGTGTAACCCTTATGTCTGTATGATGTATGGTAAATACCAGAATATATTGTTATGGGAAATGATATCCTACTTTCTGGACTAACGCGTAAAGACTCGTTGCTTTAGCTCAATAGGATTGCCTTGCAAACTGCACTATTGTAGAAAATGAATCTCTAATAGTAATATCGGCCCAAAAATGGCTCAATTCCGTTGAGTATTTACAAAGATCTATGCTGCTCGCTGTGTAATAAGGCCGCCGCCATTTCGTTGTGTATTTAAAATCTGATTGAATCCAAGCCGGGAGAATATCTAGCCTTGGTCTTTTGATTTTGTGTTTGAGTATATATTAGATTGGATTTAGCCGTGATAAATTTTTAGCGAAAAATACACATGACGTATCGTTACTTTACACGGGCGTCTTGTTTTACTTGCTGATTATATAACGTTTTATTCCAGTAATGTTACAATGAAATCAGCTGGAGAATGTCCTACTTGTGCTTGTCAGACAATATATCAACCAGTCTGTGGAAGTGATGCTAAAACATATGATAATAAATGTGAACTAGACTGTGCGTAAGTATCGTGGAAGTTATTTAAAATAACACTAATATTTGATGTGCTTCGTATGTTTTATGAAGTTGGCATCAATCTACATTTAAATGTTTAGGTCCACAAACAGAGCCAATGTTGAGATAAGACAGAATGTTCCACTGTTGATACAATAAGCCAAATGAAATCAAAATCAGCGAACAACTTGCCTTCCACTCTATATTGTCCCGTCACTAATTTAAATAACAAATCAGATCGAAATATATCAAAAGGGTTTACTTCCTTTAGGAGGGTAGTTTTGCCCGGACAGCGGCGCTACGGCATACTCTTATATCGAATTCCAACAGCCAAGGGATCTTTTATTTACTTCACGCCAATGTGTACATGGGACCTCGGTTTTTTTCTCCTCCGAACGACCAGACAGCTGTCCTTGTCAGGCCCTCGGTTCTGTACCACTGACAAGGGGAAACCACGCCGGAAAATCCTGTTGAACTTTTCCGGCCAACACTGGGAGCAAACCCGCGACCTCCAGGCAAGCAAGCCAGCGTCTTACTCACTTAGGCACCACGGCTCCCCATTTTATTAGAGACTAAACCACATGCAGGCGAATATGATAAGTATATTTCATAAGTTTTTAATATCTAGCACATATGTGTGGCCATTATGATATGTGCTATATATTATATACAAGTTGTATAGGGTATATATGTTGTGTATATTATATATTACAGTGTTGTAGGGTATTTATTGTATTTTACAATGGTGTAGTAGGCCTATATAATATATAATATATTACACTGGTGTAGGGTATATATTAAATATTACAGTGGTGTAGGATATACTAATTGTTGTATATATTATATATTACAGTGGTGTAGGGTTTATGTTATATATTTCAATGTTGTTAGGTATATATAATATATTACAGTGGTGTAGGGAATATATTATAATATTACAGTGGTAAAGAATTATACTAAGTGTTGTATATACTATATATTACAGTGGTGTAGGGAATATATTATATATTACAGTGGTAAAGGATTATACTAAGTGTTGTATATATTATATATTACAGTGGTGTAGGGTATATTGGAGAAGGGGAATGTTACAGTTTGTGTACTTGTCCAGATAAACTTGATCCACTCTGCGCTATGAATGGAAAAACCTACAGAAATCTATGTTTCCTGGAATGCGGGTAATCTTTTATAAATTCTTTTGTCAAATAAGTTCGTATGTCATACGCAGTTATATGAACTTAAATAATATTCGTTGTTGACTACCAAAACTACCAGTTGGCTTTTTTAAAAATTATGTTTCAATTCATTTGAAGAACATGGTTATTGCAGTCGTATTTTACGATTATTTTAGATTTAACATCGCTGTGAAAAGGTTGTTTTTATGAGACTATAAACGTGACTATAAAATATATGTGTATTTGTAGAAGTCAAGTTGCTGTATCTGGTGGGGAGTGCCCTAAAGTATGTCCTTGTCCTAGAATATATCAACCTGTCTGTGGTAGTGATGGTAAAACCTATGATAATAAATGTACTCTAGACTGCAAGTAAGTATTTTCATATTAAAATTAAAGTTTTTGTCATTTGAGTTTTAATTTTGATTGGCCCACACTGCAAGAAGATTCCGGGTGATTGGTTAAATTTGTTCTTTTCATTGGTCACTGGTCACTTGTATTATTCTTATATTATTTTGTAACAACTAATAACGTTATTGGAATATTTTCAGTGAAGTCAACCAAGCATCTGAAGGAGCTTGTCCATGTGCTTGTCCTAGAATATATCAACCAGTCTGCGGTAGTGATGGTAAAACTTATGGTAATAAATGTGAAATGGCCTGTCTGTAAGTTGATTCCGATATTGGATTGGTTCGACTTGATATTAACCTAGTGTATATGTTGATCAAGAACGCCATTCCCTCATTACAAAAAACGACCTAATAACGGCTTTAGGCTATTCAGACGTCATGTTAGCCTATGCAGACTGGTTCCTGATTCTAGATAGTGTAAACCCAACATTACTGCATTATACACAAACTGATAATCTAATCTATAACTTATTATGAATTTGATCGATGTTTCTCGAGTTTTTCGTATCTAGAACATATCGTAAGCTTCAAAGGAAGTTCGAGATAACGATAATTAACTGCATATTAACTATTATGTAAAATGTGTTTCAGCGGAGTTGATTTAAAATCAGAAGGTGAATGTCCTAAAGTATGTGCCTGTCAGAGAATATATCAACCTGTCTGTGGTAGCGATGGTAAAACATATGACAATCAGTGTGAAATGAACTGCTCGTGAGAATTTTTTTAAAATCTATTTGTATTGAACCACTAATATCCCCATTTAGACATCCGACGAGCTCAAATTTATGTTGTGATTACGAATTAACTATGTCATAATTACGAGTTAACTTTGTCATAATTACGAGATAACTATGTATACGCTAATTACTTATCATTTCGAGATAACAAAAGCATTAAAATATATACCTTTATATCAGTCATGTGCGTACATTATTCGCCATGTTCGAGGAATCGCGAATAGTAATTATCGTGTACATGATGCCATGATCACAAAATACTCATATTTTGTTTTTCCTTCAAATTTAAATCGGTATTTAGTTTATTCAAACAAACCCCAAAGTAGTAGATATAGTCAGATATTTTCCCGTAAATTGGTCCTATTACCAGAGGATTATCCAGTAATACATTGTAATGGAAAATGACCTAGTCTTCTTTTTGGTGTAAGCCTTATGTCGGTACGATATATGGTAAATACCGGAATATATCGTTATGGGAAATGATATCCTACTTTCTGGACTAACGCGTAAAGACTTGTTGCTTTAGCTCAGTAGGATTGCCTTGCAAACTGTACTATTGTAGAAAATGAATCTCTAATAGGAATATCGGTCCAAAAATGGTTCATTATTTACAAAGATCTATGCTGCTCGCTATATAATAAGCCCGCCGCCATTTTGTTGTGGGCGAACGTTTTTGATCGGCGTACATTATTTAGCCTTGGTCTTTTGATTTTGTTTTCTAGATTAATGATAAATAATCAATCTGAGTATATATTAGCGTGGATTAATCCATGATAATTTTTTTTAGCAAAAAATGCAAATGACGTATCATGTTTTACTTGCTGATATATTTGATTTACTGTATCGATTATATAACGTTTTATTCCAGTAATGTTACAATGAAATCAGCTGGAGAATGTCCAACTTGTGCTTGTCAGACAATATATCAACCAGTTTGTGGAAGTGATGCTAAAACATATGATAATAAATGTGAACTAGACTGTGTGTAAGTATTGTGGAAGTTATTTAAAATGACACTAATATTTGATGTGTTTGATATGTTCTATGAAGTGTGTATCAATCTACATTTAAATATTTAGGTCCACAAACAGAGCCAATGTTGAGATAAGACAGAATGTTCCACTGTTGATACAATAAGCCAAATGAAATCAAAATCAGCGAACAACTTGCCTTCCACTCTATATTGTCCCATCACTAATTTAAATAACAAATCAGATCGAAATATATCAAAAAGGTTTACTTCCTTTAGGACTATATTTTATTAGAAAAATGAAAGTAAATAAAATAGGGTTTAAGGTCCTACTGTTGTACTTGGTTAATGAAGACGGGCTTACGCCATACGGTGTGATATGGGGGTGCTATGGGGGTAATTTTGCCCAGACAGCAGCGCTACGGCCTACTCTTACATCGAATTCCAACTGTCAAGGGATCTTTTACGTGCACGTCAATGTGTACACGGGACCTCGGTTTTTCGCTCATCTGAACGGCTAGACAGCTGTCCTTGTCAGGCCCTCGGTCCTGTACCACTGACAAGGGGAAACAACGCCGGAAAATCGCGTTGAACTTTCCCGGCCAACACCGGGAGCGAACCCGCGACCTCCAGGCTAGCCAGCCAGCGTCTTACTCATTTAGCCACCATGGCTCGCCATTTTATTAGAGACTAAACCACACACAGGCGAACATGATTAGTATATTTCATAAGTTTTTAATATCTAGCACATATGTGTGGTCATTGCCATTTCGAGATAAACTGCACAATATCGGTTCATTCGAAACCAATCGCTGATTCAGTTAAATTTGCGTATATATACAGTGACGTCGGGTGTATTAGTCTACTAATTGCTGTATAGCTCACATGATACATCATATATACTACAATTATGTTGTATCATGATGTGGTATATATTTTAAGTGGTATGGGGTATACATGTATATTGGTTGTAGTAGTCTAGGGCATACATGTTGTGTATATTATATATTACAGTGTTGTAGGGTATTTTTTTATATTTTTCAGTGGTGTAGTATATAATATATTATATATTACAGTGGTGTGGGGTGTATATTATATTTTAAAGTGGTGTTAAGTATATATAATATATTACAGTGGTGTAGGGAATATATTATAATATTACAGTGGTAAAGGATTATACTAAGTGTTGTATATATTATATATTACAGTGGTGTAGGGTATATTGGAGAAGGGGAATGTTACAGTTTGTGTACTTGTCCAGATAAACTTGATCCACTCTGCGCTATGAATGGAAAAACCTACAGAAATCTATGTTTCCTGGAATGCGGGTAATCTTTTATAAATTCTTTTGTCAAATAAGTGCGTATGTCATACGCCATTATATGAACTTAAACACGAACATCCAGAAGGCAAAATAATATTCGTTGTTGACTACCAAGACTACCAGTTGGCTTTTTTAAAAATTATGTTTCAATTCATTTGAAGAACATGGTTATAGCAGTCGTATTTTACGATTATTTTAGATTTAACATCGATGTAAAAAAGTTGTTTTTATGAGACTATAAACGTGACTATAAAATATATGTGTATTTGTAGAAGTCAAGTTGCTGTATCTGGTGGAGAGTGCCCTAAAGTATGTCCTTGTCCTAGAATATATCAACCTGTCTGTGGTAGTGATGGTAAAACTTATGATAATAAATGTACACTAGAATGCAAGTAAGTATTTTTATATTAAAATTAAAGTTTTTGTCATTTGGGTTTTAATTTTGATTGGTCCACACTGCCAGAAGATTCCGGGTTAAATTTGTTCTTTTCATTAGTCACTGGTCACTTTTATTATTCTTATATTATTTTGTAACAAATAATAATGTTATTTGAATATTTTCAGTGAAGTCAACCAAGCATCTGAAGGAGCTTGTCCATGCGCTTGTCCTAAAATATATCAACCAGTCTGTGGTGCTGATGGTAAAACTTATGGTAATAAATGTGAAATGACCTGTGTGTAAGTTGATTCTGATATTTGATTGGTTCAATCTGATATTAAGCTAATGTATATGTTGAACTCTATGAAATTCGTGTTGACCAAGAACGTCATTCCCTCGTTACAAAAATTCCTCAATAACGGCTTAAGAATAGGCTATTCAGGCGTCATGTCGGTCTATGCAGATTGGTTTCCCGATTTTTGATAGTGAAAACGCAACATTACCTCATTATACATGAACTGATAATCTATAACTTATTATTTATTTGATCGATGTTTCTCGAGTTATTCGTATCTAGAACATATCGCAAGCTTCAAAGGAAGTTGGAGATAACGATAGTTAACCGTATATTAACTATTATGTAAAATGTGTTTCAGCGGAGTTGATTTAAAATCAGAAGGTGAATGTCCTAAAGTATGTGCCTGTCAGAGAATATATCAACCCGTCTGTGGTAGCGATGGTAAAACATATGATAATCAGTGTGAAATGAACTGCTCGTGAGAAATTTTTAAAATTATTTGTATTGCACCACTATGACTGCATGTCCAGTATGATTGTCATGTCATTGGATATTGGGATTCTCATAGTGATAGCACATTTTGATACGATCACTATCGGATATCCAGCTTACTTTAACGTTCCGTTCCTGAGTTACCCCCCGCAAACTGAAGACCCTCTGAATTTGATGGAGGCTACAATTTTTGAACAAATTTGGCGTGTAGCATTGGGTTCACGAGATGACAACCGCTTGTTCTCCATACGAACAAAATACGATGTAAAAAAAATCTACGCGATTGTCTCAGGAAGACAACATGAACACCCGAAGCCCTCGCAATGCCCTTACGTTGGCCTTAAGAAGGTCAAAATGAACACACGAATTCAACACGAAAATGAACCTTCGCATGGTCCTTCGAAAATTTTTTGGCATGCCAATGATTTTGTCAGCGCTCACGAAGTTGCTGTCGGAGCTTGAAAAACTTCACAGACGGTCATACGATGGCCCAAGATGCCCTCACGAATGGTACGATGTTTTTACGATCGTGTGTCATTTTTGAGAGGTTGTGACTCCCGATAAAGCAGCTTCCAGAATCAGTCATGAGCAACTCTACAGAGCCATTGTGTGACCTTCGTGTGTACAAAATTCACATCTTCGTATTACATTCGTGTGTGGTTCGGGTGTCATGATGTGACTTTCTATAACAATAGCACTTGCTTCGGCTGTTAATTGGTTTTTGACCAGGTTCGGGGCCACCTTCACGCGAAATTCAACATTATTAGAAAAATATAGGGGTTGTTTCGATTTCAGGGGAGTTTCTCAGAAATCAGCTGGAGAATGTCCAACTTGTGCCTGTCAGACAATATATCAACCAGTCTGTGGAAGCGATGGTAAAACTTATGATAATAAATGTGAACTAGACTGTGTGTAAGTAGTTTTATATTAGAATTAAAATCTGATCGTTTCTTTATCAGGTCAATTTTAAATTTGCTCTTTCCAAAACGAAAGAACCACATATTTTAGAAGTATACTGCAATTTTTCAGGGGAGTTGACCTGACCTCAGAAGGAGCTTGTCCATGTCCCTGTCAGAAAATATATCAACCAGTTTGTGGTGCTGATGGTAAAACGTATGGTAATAAATGTGAATTGACCTGTGCGTAAGTTGATTCTCATATTTGATTGACTTAAGTCTTATTTTAACCTATATATAAAACCATTTCCCCATAACGAAAGCATTCAAAACGGGCAATAAGTCGATTAGTATGCTACTCAGAACAAATGGATCCAGCCCCTCCACACTCCCCCAATAAAGTATCTTCTTTTCCCTTTCCCAATGTTTTTCTCTTTTACATGATACTTTTTGTTGACGTTTTCGCCAAGAAAAAACAAAAAGGAATTTCGACACTGTTGATTAGAGTCATTCGAAATTTCTAATACGTTTCAGCTATTTTTTACCGTATGAACTGATAATCTATGGCTTAAAATGAATCTGATTCATGTTTCTAGAGTTATTAGCATTACTCAAAGAAAGTTCGAGATAACGATAGTTTATTGTATATTAATTATTAATTTTCAGTGGAGTTGATTTAAAATCAGAAGGTGAATGTAGTCAAGTTTGTCCATGTCAAAACAATTATCAACCTGTTTGTGGAACAGATGGTCAAACTTACAGTAATAAATGTGAAATGGACTGCGTGTAAGTAATTCTTTGTAATTTTGTATTTAGAAATAAAACCGAGGCGGTGGCTGGTCACGCCAATGGCCAAGCGATACTCAAGAATATTCGATCTAATGTTTTGTCAGAAAATTGTCACAAACTGCTGGACAATCTTACATACATGGTGAATATGGCTGTCGAGTGTCGAAACAATAAAATAAATTACAACAACGGCCCTTTTATTCTACACCCTCGTAATTCTTCAAAACGAATCTATGTTATTAAAATAGATTCATACAAGACTCCCACGTGAAATATCTTATAAATAAGGTTCTGACCAATAAATGCTTATAGCTTTCCATTTCCTTAAATACATGATTGGTATCTAACATTTTCATGCAAAGCCTAAAGCAATCAAGAGGGTTCATCGCTCCACGGTTATCCGATCTTAAATCTTAACAGGAAATAACCTTTCCTACATTATGTGTTAAGCACTCCACTAACAACATTTTAGCTGGAAAGCGCGAGATTTGGTATTCGCGATCAATCAAAATTATTGCCGACATATGCAGGGTATTACGTGAAGGGCTTGATAACATGCACGGGGTTAAAGCGAGATCAAGATGCCAGACCCATGTCACCCGCGACTCGAGCTACCCTTATACCTCAAATTTTAGCCCGTGGGCAGCTTTAATGTAGTCGCCATCCCTGAACAGGCAGATTACCGACACTCACAAAAGGAAGGGAATGTGTGTTTCTTGGAATCAAAATACAAATGTTTCAGGTACTTCAATTTACAGTTACCAACATTTCGATTTCTATAAAATATTAAAAACAAATCAATTCATAGATTATTGATAGTTTTAGTAATTCAAAATAGGATTGTTGATAGTTTTAGAAACTCAAAATATTGAAATTTAATCTCAGGGGAGTTGACCAGGCTTCAGAAGGAGTTTGTCCATGTGCCTGTCAGAAAATATATCAACCAGTCTGTGGTGCTGATGGTAAAACTTATGGTAATAAATGTGAAATGACCTGTGTGTAAGTTGATTCTGATATTTGGTTGGTTCAATCTGATATTAAGCTAATGTATATGTTGAACTCTATGAAATTCGTGTTGACCAAGAACGTCATTCCCTCGTTACAAAAACTACCCAATAACGGCTTAAGAATAGGCTATTCAGGCGTCATGTCGGTCTATGCAGATTGGTTTCCCGATTTTTGATAGTGTAAACCCAACATTACCTCATTATACATGAACTAATAATCTATAACTTATTATTTATTTGATCGATGTTTCTCGAGTTATTCGTATCATGAACATATAGCAAGCTTCAAAGGAAGTTCGAGATAACGATAGTTAACTGTATATTAACTATTATGTAAAATGTGTTTCAGCGGAGTTGATTTAAAATCAGAAGGTGAATGTCCTAAAGTATGTGCCTGTCAGAGAATATATCAACCCGTCTGTGGTAGCGATGGTAAAACATATGATAATCAGTGTGAAATGAACTGCTCGTGAGAAATTTTTAAAATTGTTTGTATTGAACCACTATAACTTCATGTCCAGTATGACTGTCATGTCATGGGATATTAGGATTCTCATAGTAATAGCATTCTAAGAATTTTTTGGGATACCCCAATGTGATAGCACATTTTGATACGATCCGTATCGGATATCCAGCTTACCTTAACCTTCCGTTCCTGAGTTACCGCCCCCCCCCCCCCCAATAAACGAAGACCCTCTGAATGGGATGGAGGCTACAGTTTTTGAACAGATTAGATTCAAATTTGGCGTGTAGCATTGGGTTCACAAGATGACAACCGCTTGTTCTCCATACGAACACAATACGATGTAAAAAAAATCTACGCGATTGTCTTAGGAAGACAACATGAACACCCGAAGCCCTCGCAATGCCCTTACGTTGGCCTTAAGAAGGTCAAAATGAACACACGAATTCAACACGAGAAAATGAACCTTCGCATGGTCCATCGAAGATTTTTTGGCATGCCAATGGTTTTGTCAGCGCTCACGAAGTTGCTGTCGTAGCCCTCACGAATGGTACGATGTTTTTACCATCGTGTGTCATTTTCGAGAGGTTGTAACTCCCGATAAAGCAGCTTCCAGAGTCAGTCATGAGCAACTCTACAGAGCCATCCTGTGACCTTCGTGTGTACAAAATTCACATCTTCGTATTACATTCGTGTGTGGTTCGGGTGTCATCATGTGACTTTCTATAACAATAGCACTTGCTTAGGCTGTTAATTGGTTTTGGACCAGGTTCGGGGCAATCTTCGCGTGAAATTCAACATTTCATATTCGTATGGCCATTTGGTGTTAATTTCGGGACTGTGTGACATCAGCATTAGAAAAATATAGGGGTTGTTTCGATTTCAGGGGAGTTTCTCAGAAATCAGCTGGAGAATGTCCAACTTGTGCCTGTCAGACAATATATCAACCAGTCTGTGGAAGCGATGGTAAAACTTATGATAATAAATGTGAACTAGACTGTGTGTAAGTAGTTTTATATTAGAATTAAAAACTGATCGTTTCTTTATCAGGTCAATTTTAAATTTGCTCTTTCCAAAACGAAAGAACCACATATTTTAGAAGTATACTGCAATTTGTCAGGGGAGTTGACCTGACCTCAGAAGGAGCTTGTCCATGTCCCTGTCAGAAAATATATCAACCAGTTTGTGGTGCTGATGGTAAAACGTGTGGTAATAAATGTGAATTGACCTGTGCGTAAGTTGATTCTCATATTTGATTGACTTAAGTCTTATTTTAACCTATATATAAAAACCATTTCCCCTTAACGAAAGCATTCAAAACGGGCAATAAGTCGATTAGTATGCTACTCAGAACAAATGGATCCAGCCCGTCCCCACTCCCACAATAAACTATCTTCTTTTCCCTTTCCCAATGTTTTTCTCTTTTACATGATACTTTTTGTTGACGTTTTCGCCAAGAAAAAACAAAAAGGAATTTCGACACTGTTGATTAGAGTCATTCGAAATTTCTAATACGTTTCAGCTATTTTTTACCGTATGAACTGATAATCTATGGCTTAAAATGAATCTGATTCATGTTTCTAGAGTTATTCGCATTACTCAAAGAAAGTTCGAGATAACGATAGTTTATTGTATATTAATTATTAATTTTCAGTGGAGTTGATTTAAAATCAGAAGGTGAATGTAGTCAAGTTTGTCCATGTCAAAACAATTATCAACCTGTTTGTGGAACAGATGGTCAAACTTACAGTAATAAATGTGAAATGGACTGCGTGTAAGTAATTCTTTGTAATTTTGTATTTAGAAATAAAACCGAGGCGGTGGCTGGTCAAGCCAATGGCCAAGCGATACTCAAGAATATTCGATCTAATGTTTTGTCAGAAAATTGTCACAAACTGCTGGACAATCTTACATACATGGTGAATATGGCTGTCGAGTGTCGAAACAAATAAAATAAATTACAACAACGGCCCTTTTATTCTACACCCTCGTAATTCTTCAAAACGAATCTATGTTATTAAAATAGATTCATACAAGACTCCCACGTGAAATATCTTATAAATAAGGTAATGACCAATAAATGCTTATAGCTTTCGATTTCCTTAAATACATGATTGGTATCTAACATTTTCATGCAAAGCCTAAAGCAATCAAGAGGGTTCATCGCTCCACGGTTATCCGATCTTAAATCTTAACAGGAAATAACCTTTCCTACATTATGTGTTAAGCACTCCACTAACAACATGCCCCAGCATCAATTTAAATATGATGGAACCAACCATGTCGTAATGTTGTGTTCATTTCGTGTTGTATTAACGGTAATTACGATTTTACGACATACAACATGTTAGAAGCCGTTATTGGTACTGACTGACTGGAGTTCAAATATGGAATATGGCGTGGTTTGGGATGGCAGCTTGATTTATATTGTGTTATCGATTATAATATCCATCGATTAAAATGTAATAGAATACGGGGAATGCCTAGAACCGAATGCAATATAACTAAAACACGGAACTGGTAATTCAACGCCACCAGACCGACATGTTCCTGAAGCAACGACCTCGAGTTTTACAACACCTAGATGTTGCTAGACTGGTCTGCAATTCCCGAACTTATAGCTACGCCATCCCCCTTTAATGCAAACATGTTAATGACAGCGTCCAGTCAGAGGTTGTGACACAAACACACTCAAATCAAACATGGCGGCCTCCACTGAAACTTTGACATTGAACGAACCTTGAACTTTGCAACTCGATTTTTACAGATAGACATTTTAGCTGGAAAGCGCGAGATTTGGTATTCGCGATCAATCAAAATTATTGCCGACATATGCAGGGTATTACGTGAAGGGCTTGATAACATGTACGGGGTTAAAGCGAGATCAAGATGCCAGACCCATTTCACCCGCGACTCGAGCTACCCTTATACCTCAAATTTTAACCCGTGGGCAGCTTTAATGTAGTCGCCATCCCTGAACAGACAGATTACCGACACTCACAAAAGGAAGGGAATGTGTGTTTCTTGGAATCAAAATACAAATGTTTCAGGTACTTCAATTTACAGTTACCAACATTTCGATTTCTATAAAATATTAAAAACAAATCAATTCATAGATTATTGATAGTTTTAGTAATTCAAAATAGGATTGTTGATAGTTTTAGAAACTCAAAATATTGAAATTTAATCTCAGGGGAGTTGACCAGGCTTCAGAAGGAGCTTGTCCATGTGCCTGTCAGAAAATATATCAACCAGTCTGTGGTGCTGATGGTAAAACTTATGGTAATAAATGTGAAATGACCTGTGTGTAAGTTGATTCTGATATTTGGTTGGTTCAATCTGATATTAAGCTAATGTATATGTTGAACTCTATGAAATTCGTGTTGACCAAGAACGTCATTCCCTCGTTACAAAAACTACTCAATAACGGCTTAAGAATAGGCTATTCAGGCGTCATGTCGGTCTATGCAGATTGGTTTCCCGATTTTTGATAGTGTAAACCCAACATTACCTCATTATACATGAACTGATAATCTATAACTTATTATTTATTTGATCGATGTTTCTCGAGTTATTCGTATCATGAACATATAGCAAGCTTCAAAGGATGTTCGAGATAACGATAGTTAACTGTATATTAACTATTATGTAAAATGTGTTTCAGCGGAGTTGATTTAAAATCAGAAGGTGAATGTCCTAAAGTATGTGCCTGTCAGAGAATATATCAACCCGTCTGTGGTAGCGATGGTAAAACATATGATAATCAGTGTGAAATGAACTGCTCGTGAGAAATTTTTAAAATTGTTTGTATTGAACCACTATAACTTCATGTCCAGTATGACTGTCATGTCATGGGATATTAGGATTCTCATAGTAATAGCATTCTAAGAATTTTTTGGGATACCCCAAGGTGATAGCACATTTTGATACGATCCGTATCGGATATCCAGCTTACCTTAACCTTCCGTTCCTGAGTTACCGCCCCCCCCCCCCCCAATAAACGAAGACACTCTGAATGGGATGGAGGCTACAGTTTTTGAACAGATTAAATTCAAATTTGGCGTGTAGCATTGGGTTCACGAGATGACAACCGCTTGTTCTCCATACGAACACAATAAGATGTAAAAAAAATCTACGCGATTGTCTTAGGAAGACAACATGAAGACCCGAAGCCCTCGCAATGCCCTTACGTTGGCCTTAAGAAGGTCAAAATGAACACACGAATTCAACACGAAAATGAACCTTCGCATGGTCCATCGAAGATTTTTTGGCATGCCAATGATTTTGTCAGCGCTCACGAAGTTGCTGTCGGAGCTTGAAAAACTTCACAGACGGTCATACGATGGCCCAAGATGCCCTCACGAATGGTACGATGTTTTTACGATCGTGTGTCATTTTCGAGAGGTTGTGACTCCCGATAAAGCAGCTTCCAGAGTCAGTCATGAGCAACTCTACAGAGCCATCCTGTGACCTTCGTGTGTACAAAATTCACATCTTCGTATTACATTCGTGTGTGGTTCGGGTGTCATCATGTGACTTTCTATAACAATAGCACTTGCTTAGGCTGTTAATTGGTTTTGGACCAGGTTCGGGGCAATCTTCGCGCGAAATTCAACATTTCATATTCGTATGGCCATTTGGTGTTAATTTCGGGACTGTGTGACATCAGCATTAGAAAAATATAGGGGTTGTTTAAATTTCAGGGGAGTTTCTCAGAAATCAGCTGGAGAATGTCCAACTTGTGCCTGTCAGACAATATATCAACCAGTCTGTGGAAGCGATGGTAAAACTTATGATAATAAATGTGAACTAGACTGTGTGTAAGTAGTTTTATATTAGAATTAAAAACTGATCGTTTCTTTATCAGGTCAATTTTAAATTTGTCACAATCTGCTGGTCAATCTTACATACATGGTGAATATGGCTGTCGAGTGTCTAAACAAATAAAATAAATTACAACAACGGCCCTTTTATTCTACACCCTCCTCGTAAGTCTTCAATATGAATCTATGTTATTAACATAGATTCATACAAGACTCCCACGTGAAATATCTTATAAATAAGGTTCTGACCAATAAATGCTTATAGCTTTCCATTTCCTTAAATACATGATTGGTATCTAACATATTTCATGCAAAGCCTAAAGCAATCAAGAGGGTTCATCACTCCACGGTTATCCGATCTTAAGGTTACAATTTCATATTTTCTAAGAAAGTCAAAACATAATTATTTCTATGTCTTTTGCTCAATAGGTTGTCAACTCACTATTATACGATCATAGGTGTCATTCTCACACTTAAAACTCATTTACACCGGAAATGATAACACAATTACCCCCAATTACCTCCCTTGTTTCCTATTCTCCACCATGGAGTAGTTATCTTCAAACGTTGGAATTTGAAGATGATAATGATATTTTTGCCAATTTCTCAACTGGCAATAGTGAATTATAGGATTAATAGGGTTATTCTTTAACAAGGTAGGACCGTTTATAGATACCATCTATTTTAAGGCTTTATTTTAATAAATTTTAAAAATATAACTTAAAAATATGAAATTGCAACTTTAAATCTTAACAGGATATTAACTTTCCTACATTATGTGTTAAGCACTCCGCTAACATCATGCCCCAGCATCAATTTCAATATGATGGAACCAACCATGTAGTAATGTTGTGTTTCATTTCGTGTCGTATTAACGGTAATTACGATTTTACGACTTACAACATGTTAGAAGCCGTTATTTGTACTGACTGACTGGAGTTCAAAATAACATTGACTCGCATACTTGCAATCTGCTGTCATTGTTAGCCCATTTAAAAATAATCTTCTGTTCGCTGACAGCCATAAAATATTAACCGTTCAAAATGATTTGCGTAAATCACAATTAAATAACTTAAAAAGTGCTCGTTTTCCATGGAAGTCTTGTAAATGTCAAATTTTCCATCTGCATCTAAAAATATGCCCGACCTATCTCACTTTCTGGCAAAACTAGTAAAATTCTCTCGAATGTTCACTTAAAACTATCAAAATGTATTGAGACCCCTGTTAATGGCTGAACCCTTACATCTGCGTTTAAAATATTAATTCAAAGGTACAGTAGGAGCAAATAAGACATACATTTTAATACCAAACATTAATGTAAATCCGTGAACAAATTAAGATAGGTAGCTACCTGTCGTACCACTGTAAGAGATGTAGCATCATTTGAATTTAACAGCTCAATGTTTGTCTTTTTTCTTTTAAGGGGAGTTGCCCAAGAATTAGAAGGCGTTTGCCCATGTCCTTGTCCTAGAATATATGAACCAGTTTGTGGAAGTGATGGTAACACTTATGACAATACCTGTGAACTAGAATGCAGGTAAGTGGTTTATTGCGGGAGGGGGTGGGACCAGAATGTCCATAGTTCGATTCCTAGCTTAGATCGTAATAAAATTTTCAGGATATTTAAGTCCGATTCTCGTTTGTCCGGGGTTGCGCCTTCGGGACTGATAAGGAAAGTTTGGCTTGTACACTTTGCCATGCACATAAAAAAAACCCGTAGCAATTAAAATTAGTAGAAGTATAGGGGGAAACGCAACTACTCTCTCACGAATTCAACATTAATCAAAGAATATAAATAATACTATATAATGTTAGTCTCAAAATGGCCGACGTATTGTGTTGAAAAGGCGTTAAACCCGATTCTATTCCATCTTCACTACTCAGGTGACCAATGTTCATTTCTTGTTTTCATAGAAAACCCTTTCTAGAAATATAAATTATTGAAATCTCAGCGGAGTGAGACAGACATGTTAATGATAGCGTCCAATCAGAGGTTGTGACACAAACAAACTCAAATCAAAAATGGCGACCTCCACTGAAACCTTGACATTGAACGAACCTTGAACTTTGCAACTCGATTTTCACAGATATACAATTTAGCTGGAAAGCGTGAGACTTGGTGTTCGCGATCAATCAAAATTAGTGCCAACATATGCAGGGTATTACGTGAAGGGCTCGATAAGATGTACGGAGTGAAATCGAGATCAAGATGCCAGACCCAAGATGTCACCCCAACTCAAGCTACCCTTATAACTCCAATTTTAGCCCCGGGCCAGCTTTAATGTAGTCGCCATCCCTGAACAGACAGATTAGCGACAGTTACAAAAGGAAGGGAATGTGTGTTTCTTGAAATCAAAATACAAATGTTTTAGGTACTTCAATTTACAGTTACCAACATTTCGATTTCTATAAAATATTAAAAACAATCAATTCATAGATTGTTGATAGTTTTAGAAATTCAAAATAAGATTGTTGATAGTTTTAGAAATTCAAAATATTGAAATTTAATCTCAGGGGAGTTGACCAGGCCTCAGAAGGAGCTTGTCCCTGTCCCTGTCAGAAAATATATGAACCAGTCTGTGGTAGTGATGGTAAAACATATGGTAATAAATGTGAATTGGACTGCACGTAAGTAATAACATATATTAAACTTTAATATTGAAATTTGCTAGCCAATATGTAGTACACATTTTGGTGCATAGATCTGCCGGACACTTTCTTTTTACACCCTAGTAAGTCATTAACATGGATGCTGGAGAATTAATACAGAACTATATAAATGAAATAGCTAATGAATACGGCTGTGACCAATAACTTCGTGTAGCTTTCCATGTCCTTAAAACATGATACACAACATTTCATCATACTATCACGCCGCGACGATTATCCAGTCTTCAATTTAAACAGGAAATAACCTCTTCTACTTTCTGTGTTAACCTTTCCATCAGCATAATCCCCGAGCACAAATTTATATACCATGGTTTTCTAAAGGAATACCGACTGTGTCCTAATGCGACGTTCATATCATGTCGGGGAGCCGCGGTGATCCACTGAATAAGACGTTGGCTCCTTAACCTGGAGGTCTTGTGTCAATTCCGGTGTTGGCCGAGAAGGCTTATTTAGCGCGCCCCCACCCCCCGTGTCAGAGGTACATAAGTCAGGGCCTGACAAGGGACAACGTATAGTCCTTCGGATAGAATGACAAATCCAGGTCCGGTATTCACATTGGCGTGTACGCGTAACAGAACTCTTGGCAGTTGGAATTCGATATAAGAGTAAGCCATAGCGCAATGTATGACGTCTGGAAATCTACAATATCCTAGTCGGAGCAGAATAGTAGGACGTTAAACCCCTTTTCATTTCTTTTCGTGCAGTAATTGCGATATAACGATATCACAGGTGCCAGCAACAGGGAAATTGCCTTTGAAAAATAACATATAGCCGTGGCTAAGCATTAGGCCTAGATCTGTCACGTTCATGGTTAGTTTAACCGGTCAATGGTTGTTTTTTTTTCAAGGGGAGTTGCCCTAGAGTCAGAAGGAGTTTGTCCATGTCCTTGTCCTAAAATATATCAACCAGTCTGTGGAAGTGATGGTAACACTTATGGCAATACCTGTGACCTAGAATGCAAGTAAGTAACCTTTTGATGTAATTACTACACTTTGCGGTTATCGAGAGATGGAGCACGTGACTTTCGACCCACTCTCTGGTTCAGGCTGATTCCATCCCAAACCATTATGCTTGGACCTCCCCATGAGCCTCGTTCCATGACACATTGGTCAGAATAACGCTGGCCACGTCGACGCCATATTCTGGTCCTGCCATCCGCAGTTGATACGCAATACCGACTCTGATCTGTTAACAGAACAGTTCTCCATTGCCTGTCTCGCCAGTTCTGGTGTTGTTGGGCAAACTGTAGACGTTCACGTCGATGGCGAGGAGTGAGGATCGGTCCACCCACGGTAAGGTCTACGGCTATGGATGTTCTCTCTGGTGAGACGTCGGCGCACTGTATCGGTACTGTTCGGTGTGTTCCCACTGTCTGAGTGCTGTCTCAGATGCCTGTGTGAAGGGATTCTGCACGTGTTCTCGCACCACATGGCGGTCTTGTCGCCTTGTGGTAACCCTAGGTCTACCAGTTCGGGGGCGATCATCCGTGGTGTTGGTGGCCCGAAAGTGTTGCTGAAGCCTGTAGATGGTTTGAACATTGACCTGGAAGTGATTGGCAACGGCCTGGGCAGTGTGGCCAGCGTCGAGTCTTCCAAGCGCCTGGTTCCTTTGAGCTGTCGTGAGTCGTGGCATCCTGATGACGTTGTAGTGTGAATGATTCAACCAGGTATGGGGGTGCATTTTATAGGGCTGGTCCCGGTGAAAATCACGGAGAACACATTACCATCTCAGAAATTAGGTTGCCTTTTTGATAACATTTCCTGGGTTCAATTCTGTGTTTGGGAAGGAGCATTATTGCTCAGGTAAAGTTGGAGATGTGGTCACAAATATACAATAAAAACATTTGGCAAGATTTGTGCAATGCGTCTATTCAGAGTAACATACCAACCTGACGTTTCTTTTGCTACTAAGTATATAAAGTAACGGAACGGAGAACTGTATATATGTATAAGTGCTTATTCTCAAATTATTTTTTATATTTTGTATTTTTATATGTTCTTGTTGTATATATGTTCTGTATGTACAAAAATTAAACTTATTTTTGTAAATTCTGGAGAGGTGTCAACATAGGCCTAGGCTGTTCCCCAATCCATTTTCAAATGAAATAAAATATTGTTTACAAGAAAAAGAAGTACATTGTCAGACATGTAAAAGAACTCGTGGTTATTGGTATACGAAGAAGAGTGGGCGGTATTACGTTAAGGGCTTGATATGATTGTTCATAGATTGTTGATAGTTTTAGAAATTCAAAATATTGAAATTCAATCTTAGGGGAGTTGACCTGGCCTCAGAAGGAGCTTGTCCATGTCCCTGTCAGAAAATATATGAACCAGTCTGTGGTAGTGATGGTAAAACATATGGTAATAAATGTGAATTGGATTGCAAGTAAGTAATAACATATATACTACTGTGGTAGGTTCTAGGGCGTCACCAAACTGCATAATCACCGAAGGTGTAAGGTTCTAGGATATCAGCCAACTGTCTTGGTCTAATAAATTATCTTCCATGGTAAGTTCTAGGTTGTTAGTAAACTGTCTTGAGTCACTAAAATGGGTACTGTGATATGTTCTGATCCACTGAATAAGACGTTGGCTCCCTAACCTGGAGGTCTTGTGTCAATTCCAGTGTTGGCCGAGAAGGCTTATTTGGCGCGGTTTACCCGTGTCAGAGGTACAGAATTCATGGCCTGGCCAGGGACAACGTATAGTCCTTCGGATGGGACCACAAATCTAGGTCCGGTGTTCACATGGACGTGCACGTAACAGAACCCTTGGCAGTTGGAATTCGATATAGGAGTATGCCATAGCGCAATGTATGGCGTCTGACCATCTACAATATCCCAGTCGGAGCAGAATAGTAGGACGTTAAACCCCTTTTCATTTCTTTTCGTGCAGTAATTAGGATAATTACGAGTTTGCGGCATAACGATATCACAGGTGCCAATAACAGGAAAAATGCCTTTGAAAAATAACATATAGCGGTGGCTAAGCATTAGGCCTAGATCTGTCACGTTCATGGTAATAAATGTGAATTGGATTGCAAGTAAGTATTAACATATATACTTATATGCATAATCACCGAAAAGGGTATTGTGTAAGGTTTTAGGATATCAGCCAACTGTCTTGGTCCAATAAATTGTCTTGAGCCACTAGAATGGGTCTTGTGATATGTTCTATGATATGAGCAAATTGTTGTGATACAATCCATTGGGTCCTGTGGAGGGTCCTCTCTTGTCAGAAAACGGTCCTGACCTACTAGATTGGATTTTTTGGTACGTTCTACGATGTCAGCAAAGTGTCCTGACCTGCCAGATTGGATTCTGTGGTACGGTCCTGACCTACCAGGTTGGGTACTGATCTATGTTCTAGGATGTCAGCAAACTGTCTTGACCTATCAGATTGGATTCTTTGGTACGGTCTCGGACGTCAGCAAGCTGTTCTGGCCTACCAGATTGGGTACTGCGGTATGTTCTGGGATCGACTTGGGTGATCCACTAACGTTTTGTATGGGCGTTCTCTGGATGTTGAAGTAGCTTGTCCATGTGGTTGTCCCAAAATATATCAACCAGTCTGTGGTAGTTCTGAAAAAAAAACTTATGGAAATAAATTTGAACTAGATTATGTATCATCATATTTTTAGTGGTGTAACTCAAGTGTCTGAAGGGGCGTGTCCTTGCATCTGTCAGTCTATATATGAACCAGTCTGTGGTGCTGATGGTAAAACATATGATAATAAATGTACTCTAGAATGCAAGTAAGTTGTTCAGTGAAATATACAAGTAAGATGTTCAATCGAATTAAATAAGTCCTTCACAAAACTTAAATATTGAAATTTGCTGGCAAATCTGTACTACATATTTAGGAGCATAGGTCTGTCGCTCACATTTTATTTCAACCTCGTAAGTTATTAACATGGATGCTGGAGAATTAATACAGTACTATACAAATGAAATAGCTTATAAATACAGATGTGACCAATAACTTCGTGTAGCTTTCCATGTCCTTTAATACATGATCGGTATTTAACATACACAACATTTCATCATACTATCACGCCGCGACGATTATCCAGTCTTCAATCTAAACAGGAAATAACCTCTTCTACTTTCTGTGTTAACCTTTCCATCAGCATAATCCCCGAGCACACATTCATATACCATGGTTTACAGAGGAATACTGACTGTGTCCTAATGTTGCGTTGAATAAGACTCGCTAACCTGGAGGTCTTATGTCAATTCCGGTGTTGGCCGAGAAGGCTCATCGGGATATTCTGACGCGGTTCCCCCTTGTCCGATGTACAGGATTCAGAGCCTATGTCGGATCTATGTCCCGTGTTTACATTGGCGTGCACGTAACATAATCCTTGGCAGTTGGGATTCGATATAAGAATACGACATAGCGCACTGCATGGCGTCTGGTCATCTACAATATCCAAGTCGGAGCAGAACAGTAAGAGGTTAAACCCCTTTTCATTTCTTTTCGTGCAGTAATTAGGATAATTACGAGTTTGTGGCATGACGATATCACAGGTGCCAGTAACAAGGAAAATGCCTTTGAAAAATAACATATAGCCGTGGCTAAGCATTATGCCTAGGTCTATTACGTTCATGTTTAGTTTAACCCGATACTGTTTGTTTTTTTCCAAGGGGAGTTGCCCTAGAGTCAGAAGGAGTTTGTCCATGTCCTTGTCCTAAAATATATCAACCAGTTTGTGGAAGTGATGGTAACACTTATGACAATACCTGTGAACTAGAATGCAAGTAAGTTACTTATTGGTGTAATTACTATAGTGGGTGAGAGATGGGGCACACGACTTTCTACTAAAATGCCCTGGTTACGATTCCTATAAGTATGTACATTGTCAGACATGTAAAAGGAACTCGTGGTTATTGGTATTCAAAGAAGAGTGGGCGGAAACTCTGCTGTTCGATGCACACATAGGAAATACTATTTGTTTGTCTCAAGTTTCAAAAAGGCCGACGTATTGTGTTGACAAGGCGTTAAAACCGATTCTATTCCATCTTCACTACTCAGGTGGTCAGTGTTTCTTGTTTTAATAGAAAACCCTTTCTAGAAATATAAATTATTGAAATTTATTTACAGCGGAGTGAGACAGATATCTGAAGGAGCTTGCCCATGTGCTTGTCCCAGAATATATCAACCAGTTTGTGGCGCTGATGGTAAAACTTATGACAATAAGTGTACACTAGACTGCAAGTAAGTGTCTTATTACTTACCACTGTAATTTGAATCTGGCGTAGTTTGGGATGGCAACTTGGTTTATATTTTGTTATCAATTATAATAACCATCGATTATAGGACGACCTCAACGGAAACCTTGACATTGAACGAACCCTGAACTTTGCAACTCGATTTCTACAGGTAGATATTTTAGTTGGAAAGTGCGAGACTTAGTATTCGCTATGATCGAGTTCAGTAGCCAATAGAAATTAGTGCCGAAATATACAGGGTATTACCTTAAGGGCTTGATATGATTGATCATAGATTGTTGATAGTTTTAGAAATTCAAAATATTGAAATTCAATCTTAGGGGAGTTGACCTGGCCTCTGAAGGAGACTGTCCATGTCCCTGTCAGAAAATATATCAACCAGTCTGTGGTAGTGATGGTAAAACATATGGTAATAAATGTGAATTGGATTGCAAGTAAGTAATAACATATATACTACTGTGGTAGGTTCTAGGGCGTCACCAAACTGCATAATCACCGAAAGGATATTGTATAAGGTTCTAGGACATCAGGCAGCTGTCTTGGTCCAATATACATGTATTGTGGTGCATAGATCTGCCGTACACTTTCTTTTTACACCCTTGTAAGTCATTCAGATGAATGCTGAATACAAAACTATATAAATGAAATAGCTAATAAATACAGCTGTGACCAATAACTGCGTATAGCTTTCCAAGTCCTGAAAACTTGATCGGTATCTAACATACACAACATTTCATATGATAATAAATGTACTCTAGAATGCAAGTAACGTTTTGTAAGGGCGTTCTCTGAATGCTGAAGTAGCTTGTCCATGTGGTTGTCCCAAAATATATCGACCAGTCTGTGGTAGTTCTGAAAAAAAAACTTATGGTAATAAATTTGAACTAGATTATGTATCATCATATTTTTAGTGGTGTAACTCAAGTGTCTGAAGGGGCGTGTCCTTGCATCTGTCAGTCTATATATGAACCAGTCTGTGGTGCTGATGGTAAAACATATGATAATAAATGTACTCTAGAATGCAAGTAAGTTGTTCAGTGAAATATACAAGTAAGATGTTCAATCGAATTAAATAAGTCCTTCACAAAACTTAAATATTGAAATTTGCTGGCAAATCTGTACTACATATTTAGGAGCATAGGTCTGTCGCTCACTTTCTTTTCAACCTCGTAAGTTATTAACATGGATGCTGGAGAATTAATACAGAACTATACAAATGAAATAGCTTATAAATACAGATGTGACCAATAACTTCGTGTAGCTTTCCTTGTCCTTTAATACATGATCGGTATTTAACATACACAACATTTCATCATACTATCACGCCGCGACGATTATCCAGTCTTCAATCTAAACAGGAAATAACCTCGTCTACTTTCTGTGTTAACCTTTCCATCAGCATAATCCCCGAGCACAAATTCATATACCATGGTTTACAGAGGAATACTGACTGTGTCCTAATGTTGCGTTGAATAAGACTCGCTAACCTGGAGGTCTTATGTCAATTCCGATGTTGGCCGAGAAGGCTCATCGGGATATTCTGACGCGGTTCCCCCTTGTCAGATGTACAGGATTCAGAGCCTATGTCGGATCTATGTCCCGTGTTTACATTGGCGTGCACGTAACATAATCCTTGGCAGTTTGGATTCGATATAAGAATACGACATAGCGCACTGCATGGCGTCTGGTCATCTACAATATCCAAGTCGGAGCAGAACAGTAGGACGCTAAACCCCTTTTCATTTCTTTTCGTGCAGTAATTAGGATAATTACGAGTTTGTGGCATGACGATATCACAGGTGCCAGTAACAAGGAAAATGCCTTTGAAAAATAACATATAATCGAAGCTAAGCATTATGCCTAGGTCTATTACGTTCATGTTTAGTTTAACCGGATACTGTTTGTTTTTTTCCAAGGGGAGTTGCCCTAGAGTCAGAAGGAGTTTGTCCATGTCCTTGTCCTAAAATATATCAACCAGTTTGTGGAAGTGATGGTAACACTTATGACAATACCTGTGAACTAGAATGCAAGTAAGTTGCTTATTGGTGTAATTACTATAGTGGGTGAGAGATGGGGCACACGACTTTCTACTAAAATGCCCTGGTTACGATTCCTATAAGTATGTACATTGTTAGACATGTAAAAGGAACTCGTGGTTATTGTTATTCGAAGAAGAGTGGGCGGAAACTCTGCTGTTCGATGCACACATGGGAAATACTATTTGTTTGTCTCAAGTATCAAAATGGCCGACGTATTGTGTTGACAAGGCGTTAAAACCGATTCTATTCCATCTTCACTACTCAGGTGGTCAGTGTTTCTTGTTTTAATAGAAAACCCTTTCTAGAAATATAAATTATTGAAATTTATTTACAGCGGAGTGAGACAGATATCTGAAGGAGCTTGCCCATGTGCTTGTCCCAGAATATATCAACCAGTTTGTGGTGCTGATGGTAAAACTTATGACAATAAGTGTACACTAGACTGCAAGTAAGTGTCTTATTACTTACCACTGTAATTTGAATCTGGCGTAGTTTGGGATGGCAACTTGGTTTATATTTTGTTATCGATTATAATAACCATCGATTATAGGACGACCTCAACGGAAACCTTGACATTGAACGAACCCTGAACTTTGCAACTCGATTTCTACAGGTAGATATTTTAGTTGGAAAGTGCGAGACTTAGTATTCGCTATGATCGAGTTCAGTAGCCAATAGAAATTAGTGCCGAAATATACAGGGTATTATCTTAAGGGCTTGATATGATTGATCATAGATTGTTGATAGTTTTAGAAATTCAAAATATTGAAATTCAATCTTAGGGGAGTTGACCTGGCCTCAGAAGGAGACTGTCCATGTCCCTGTCAGAAAATATATCAACCAGTCTGTGGTAGTGATGGTAAAACATATGGTAATAAATGTGAATTGGATTGCAAGTAAGTAATAACATATATACTACTGCGATAGGTTCTAGGGCGTCACCAAACTGCATAATCACCGAAAGGATATTGTATAAAGTTCTAGGACATCAGGCAGCTGTCTTGGTCCAATATACATGTATTGTGGTGCATAGATCTGCCGTACACTTTCTTTTTACACCCTTGTAAGTCATTCAGATGAATGCTGAATACAAAACTATATAAATGAAATAGCTAATAAATACAGCTGTGACCAATAACTGCGTATAGCTTTCCAAGTCCTGAAAACTTGATCGGTATCTAACATACACAACATTTCATTGAACTATCAAGGGACGATTATCCAGTCTTCAATTTAAACAGGAAATAACCTCTTCTACTTTCTGTGTTAACGTTTCCATCAGCATAATACCCGAGCACAAATTCATATACTATGGTTTACAGAGGAATACTGACTGTGTCCTAATGCTGCGTTCATATCATGTCGGGGAGCCGCGGTGATCCACTGAATAAGACGTTGGCTCCCTAACCTGGAGATCTTGTGTCAATTCCAGTGTTGGCCAAGAAGGCTTATTTGGCGTGGTCCCCCCTCCCCCTGTGTCACAGGTACAGGATTCAGGGCCTGACAAGGGACAACGTATAGTCCTTCGGATGGGACCACAAATCTAGGTCCGGTGTTCACATTGGCGTGCACAGAACCCTTGGCAGTTGGAATTCGATATAAGAGTAAGACATGACGCAATGTATGGCGTCTGGCCATCTACAATATCCTAGTCGGAGCAGAACAGTAAGAGGTTAAACCCCTTTTCATTTCTTTTCGTGCAGTAATTAGGATAATTACGAGTTTGCGACTTGACGATATCACAGGTGCCAGTAACAGGGAAAATGCCTTTGAAAAATAACATATAATCGAAGTTAACCATTAGCCTAAGTCTATTACGTTCATGTTTAGTTTAACCGGTTACTGTTTGTTTTTTTCCAAGGGGAGTTGCCCTAGAGTCAGAAGGAGTTTGCCCATGTGCTTGCCCTAGAATATATCAACCAGTCTGTGGAAGTGATGGTAACACTTATGACAATACCTGTGAACTAGAATGCAAGTAAGTATTGGTGTAATCAACACACTGGGCGGTTAACGAGATATTAGCCACCCTTTCGACTAGAATACCCTGATTCCTAGCTTGGAGCGTAATAGAACCTTCAGGATATTCTAAGCCCTGAAATGTTTCCCTTGTCGTTCATGTGGGACTAAGAGTGATGTTCATCCGTGTGCACGTCTAGCGTGTCAGTAAACTGCCTCGGTGTCTACTGTGGTAGGTTCTAGAGTGCCAATAAACAGATAATGTGTACTGTTGTGAGTTCAAGAGTGTCAATAAACTGACAATGAGTTCTGCTATTATGGTATCAGAAAACTAAAATTATCACCTCTCAATCCCATTTGAAATTTTGATTTGCCTGTCCTGTGTTTGTTTACTGGGTATATGTTATACCGTATTGCTCAAATCATTCATAAATTACTATCAGACCCCACTGTCGCCTACGTCTTTTAATACTTTTATTGGGATTGATCGGTTTGTTTTTTTCCAGGGGAATTTCCCTTGTTTTCGAAGAAGCTTGTCCATGTCCCTGTCAGAAAATATATGAACCAGTTTGTGGTGTTGATGGTAAAACATATGATAATAAATGTGAACTAGACTGCAAGTAAGTTTTGTACATGTCACATGTCATAACTATCGATCAATTTGACTGATGCTTTAGACTAATGTTGTTTTTCAATGGTATAATTTTGTTTTTGTACAAGTCTCTAGTCTCGGTCAATAAGATCGCATTGTTATTTCAGAAACATTGCCATGGCTTCTGAAGGAGAATGTAAGATCTGTGCATGTCCAGCAACCCTACAACCAGTCTGTGGTGTTGATGGTAAAACCTATGATAATACATGTCTTCTACAATGCGCGTGAGTAATCTATATATTTCTTACAAATGAATGAAATGGGGTTTAACGAACATAGCCATACGCCATGCAGTATACTATGAGGCGACATCGGACAAGCTACCACTCACCTTGTCACGTAAAAAAGCTGGGAATTGAAGCCACGCCACTTGATTCAATAACATGGTGTTCTTTAGATGGTAATTTATGCGATTAAAACATTAACCCAAGTCAGATAAGGGGGGAGGGGGTAACGTCGACTCGACACAAACTATGTCATTTCGGGACTAACACATGGTTCAATTTTATTTTATTTCAATAATTCGCTTGTGCGCATGGGTTTTTTAGCAGTGGGAGGAAACCGGGGTACCCGAAAAAAAAAGTACCGAAGAAAACCCACAAGGTTGAACAGGCGACCTAACTCCTTGTCAGTACAACCGGGGATTCGAAACCATGCCAGTTGACTCAATGACAGACCTTATGATACAACGCGCACGCGCTACCCCCCCCCCCACGCGAAAGTAAGTAACCTTTAGATGACCATATGGTATGTTAGTATTGATCATTAATCCAGGTCAATATCTTTTGAACGTCTTTACTTATTAATGTGAAATGCTGTGTCCTTAAAGTAGCATGTAATAATGTAATATGAATGTTTATAAATTGATTTACATTCAATAGTTTCCGTTTATTACTCTAATTTAAATAAGTTATATTTGGCGAAATACGCCAGAAGTCTTAGTCAAATGGCATTTATAGCGCATGCTCTCCAGATAAGAATATGAAGTCACTGTTTGACATGACCTGTGGAATATGTCTAGCCTCGTTCTTCAAATCCTTTGTTACAAATGGCGCTGAAACGCATTATGGTACACGATTCTTGTACCAATGGTAAAATGTTTTTTTGTCTTAAATATTGGATATCAGAAGCCCATCTTTTCCCGGGAAGATCACAACATCAATGTTGATATAAATTGACAAATAATTCGTATTTTCAATGTGGAAGACTTTGGATGATATTAAGTTGGCTACTTTAAATAAAGATTCTATTTATTTTATAGTGAAGTTGCTCAAGCTTCCGAAGGACACTGTCCAAAAGTCTGTGCCTGTCAGTCTATATATGAACCAGTGTGTGGTGTTGACGGTAAAACATATGATAATAAATGTACTCTAGAATGTGGGTAAGTATTGTTTTTGATTGATTATCAAAATTATACTGTACTTTCATTATTTACGATTTGTTAGTGTCCTCCAACTACGTTACGTCATACAACATCTAACAATGAAAATATACTTTGGCGGGCTAAATACTGCTAAACAATGGTTCTAAAATTTGAATAGAACAATTTAAAAATGTAGTAGTTTGATCTTCATAGTGTGTAGGTCAACTTAAGTTAAGCGTGAGATCAAAACCATGACTTGCATAGAGGACAGGGCTTATCTACCGCATGCGAATATTATACCACTATGTATAAAATGTTTTCAGGGAAGTAAAACTTGCATCAAATGGCGCATGTCCTAAAGTGTGCGCATGTCAGACAATATTAGATCCGGTTTGCGGAAATGACGACAAAACCTATGACAACGAATGCCTAATGACTTGTGCGTAAGTAGAGTGTTTTGGTATGTTAAAACAAGTTTCTTGAAGATGGACATAGTTGATTTTTCATTTTCATCAAGGGACATATAATCATATACAAAGACCCGAATAATAGAATAGATTTCGCTATAACTTTTTATAGAAATAATTTGTTTGCTTGCTTGCGTGGATCTTTAGCAGTGGTAGAAAACCGGATATCCCAGAGGAAACCCACGAGTGAGATATTATATGATCTAATGCACAGGCTTAAAACACTCTGCCAGCAGCCCACAATCCTTCATCCTGCAAATTAGTGGAGGTGGTCCTGGGTACCATGTGTCCACCCAGAATAACCAGCTAAGATATTTTGTGCAACATAAATTTAAAGATTTCAGAATCCGTCCTAACTTTAATCCTTTAACTAACCCCATTTCTCTTCACCGGTAATATGGGCATTTTCAGTTGTGGACAGATTATGGTATTTATGTATTTTATTTCAGTGAGGTGAGTTTAAAATATAAAGGAGAATGTTTTGACCCATGTGCAGTTTGTCATAATTTATATACGCCAGTTTGTGGAGCCAATGGTAAAACTTATCCTAACGAATGTTTACTCGCCTGCAAGTAAGTTTATAGCTCACACTATTATGGTTTTATGGTATTAAACGCTCACCAGTGGTTTTGCCGTCCATTCTATCGTAGAAGTTAAATTATCCATCCAGTTATCGAAATATATGCCCATCGGCCTGTTTATCAGTGGCAGTGCACGTGAATGTACATATCGCATTTATGTTGTGATGTAAGGTACCGGAGCAACACGTTCATTTCAAAATGACTGTAGATGCCATGGGGCCCTGGCCTAAATATTCATGACAGTTATGATAGATGCCTTTCCTTCAATACAAAGAACGGGGGGGGGGGGTAGAACTAGATTCTTCCGGAAGTCCCATACCTATATTTTAACAGGTAGCGCAGTTAAACACTTCCTGGGCGTCTGAACCAGAACTTCCAGCAACCTGTTAGCTACGTTCACTAACACTCCTTCGATCAGTACAAATGCAGTACGAATTATTTGATCAGCAGGATAAATAATGCAAATGGAAAATAATAGACATTTATATATGATTTTCCTATGTTTTCCAGAAAACAGAGAAAATTATTCAATGGAGCATGTCCAGACTTCGGTGCCATCTTTGATAGAAATTCAAATCGTAATCCCAACAGACCCGGCTATGGTGGTAGAAATAACCATAACTTCTTGTCGGCTAGATTTTAATAGAAATGGTGGAATATTCCAAACGACAATTTTATATAAATAAATACTAAAAAAAAATTCGTTTTTTCTTTACTCGACATTTGTCCACAAGCGTTATTATTATACCAACATAATGATAGTGCGAACAAACACAATGCCAAGTTTCGTAGCCCAGGCGGAGTCTTATACATGTAATATGAACAATATAATATCTATATTACCGAAGTAATCGGATGGAGGACATGGACAAAATTTGTTCTATTGGTACATTTTAGAGTTGATTATTGTTCAATTTCAATACAAATTGCACCATCTTTTGCCTATTGCGAATGTTCATTAGATTTAGAAATATACGTGGTCACCGGAATTTACATCATTTGGACAAAAAGCTGTATTTTTAACCTTTTAAGCACTATGAGGGACATTTTGCCCAAACAGCGACGCTATGGCTTACTATTATATCAAATCCCCACTGCCCAGTGTTCTTTTACGTGCACTCCAATGTGTTTCTCGCTCCATCTGAACGACTATAAGTTGTCTCTTACCAGGCCTCCTGTTCTGCACCACTGACAAGGGAGAAACACCGGAAAAATCGAGTCACTTTCTCGGCCAACTCCGGGAACGAACCAGGGACCTACTAGTTACCGAGGCAGCGTCTTATCCACTGAACCACCGCAGCTACTGACTCCCTCTATGGCTTCCTAATGAAATAAAATGTAATACGGCTTAACGCCGAGATTTTATGATCTGAGTCTAATCCAATGAAATTAATGAATGGAATGGGGTTTAATATCTTTCTTTTCTGCATCAACCGGGATAATGAAGATAGTCGAGAGTGATACAAGGGCATTTTAAATTGCACCACTGACACGGAGGGTGGTGAGACCGGGTGGGCAAGGCACGTAGAAAATCCCAAGATATTTTCTCAGCCAACTAGGTGATTAAATCATGAAACCTTCTGGTTATAAAATCACACTGGGGGTGGGGGAGGTAAGGCTGTATCATTTTTGTCTGATAAATACGACGGCGGCGCCCGAAAAATGAACCTAAATAATTTTCCCACAAAATAACCGTAAGTAGTGCCTAGCGAACCGAATTGTCTGGAACTGCAGTTTAAGTTTGAGAACTAGACACCCTGAATCAAGATTAGAATTGTGTGATTTTTTGTGAATTAGGCAAGCCGCTAAACAGTAGGACGTTAAACCCTAATCTAAGGCTGATTGGGTGTACCGGGAGCGTGTGATTTTTGTCCCATCTACACAACTAGACACTGTTCTTTGCCAGGCCCTCTGTCCTGAACGCTTCCGAATTCCGGGGAACTTTCTTGACTAACACCATTGAGATGAGCATCATCTCCAATAGAAATGAAATGAAATGGGGTTTAACGTCCTACTGTTCTGCTCCTAACCTGGGCTAATGAAGACGGGCATATTTTGCCCGGACAGCGGCACTACGGCCTACTCTTATATCGAATTCCAACTGCCAAGGGATCTTTTACGTGCACGCCAATGTGTACACGGGACCTCGGTTTTTCGTCCCATCCGAACGACTAGACAGCTGTAATCCTTGTCAGCCCCTCCGTCCTGCATCACTGACAAGGGAGAACCACGCCGGAAAATCTGGATGAACTTTCTCGGCCAATGCAGGGATCGAACACCCGACCTCCAGGCTAGCGAGCTAGCGTCTTACCCACTTAGCCACTTGATCCCCATCTCCAATAGAAGGCTTGATCTCGCCTTAACTACGTACATCTTAGATGTTTGTAAAACTCGCGATCGTTGCTTCAGGAACATGGATGAGCATGGGCTTCTACGGTTCTACTATTGTTCTGGAAAGGCGACAACCCGACATCACGACATTTTAACATGACGCGACAACGCGAGATTTTTACGTGACATTACGAGATTTTTACGCGACATTACGAGTTACGACATACGCGACAATACGACATTTTTACGCGACATTACGACAATTTTGATGTCGACTTCCCCATTGGTTAAAATGTCGTGATGTCAATCAGCCACACCACATCCTACTTTTCAATATGGGTAATAGAACTACTACACTATGCGGCTCAATATAAACAGATAGCTTTACATAAAGGTCAATAGAAAGGTCACAGCTAAACGATTAGAAACATCACATGAACTGAAGGCTGAAGCTCAACTAATGGTCCAGTTGGGGAGTCCCCGAATACAAAGATGACGAAGAAGGATGTTCTGAGTTTAGGAAGGGTATGTGTATTCAAATTATGTGTCAGTTCATTCAAAGATATAGAAAACTGAATGAAATATATCACGTTACATGATATTAAAGGGAAACAACTCCATTTAAAAGTGGACTAGACCAAGTTTTTCTCTCCAGTGATTGAGTGTTATATTTTACTTCCTAACTTCGATGACCTGTAAACCAGTTTTTCCTAACTTCGATGAACTGTAAACCAATTTATTTTCAAAATAACCTTAGATTTAGTTAATTATTGAAAATCCAAGAACTGGTCCATTTCTATTTAGTAGAGCAACGTATTTTCATTAGTGTTTGTGAAACACCATGAAAACCACTAAAACAGTAGTACGATTTGTAAATTGAAAGTTAAAACTTGTATATCTCAGCAATGGTTTGCAGTATTTTAGTAGGACAGATTTTTTTATATTTCGGTCAAAACCCGAAGTTTGACTAAATGACACATAATTCATAGGATACCGTACTTCTTAATTTTAGCGATTTTACGAACCTCATAAAAATCAGTTGTAATCAATTGTAAACGACCTAAGCATGGGTCTAATTACTTTTACACCTTTTTTGAAGTACTGTTAATTAAATTACCCGACGGCGCGTGGCAATCATGTGACTAATTAGTTTCACAGAAAGTGCAACTAGTGTCAAACAGGGTTTACAAATACAAGGAGTAGTGTACGTAGTCAAAGCCTGATATTTAGAAATAAAACAAAGACAAACAACTTCACACCACTTTCTTTTATTGTAATTATGCTTATTTACAGTTTATGTTGAGATCTCAAGTATTAAAATTATATCGAGATATATTCAGAACTATCAAAAAAGTACCCGATAAAGATTATCAACGGGAGTTAAAAGAATGGGCCCGACATGACTTTAGATCCAATAAACATCACACTGATGAGGTAAAATTACATACACTTCAAGAGCCGCGGTGGCTCAGCGAGTAAGAAGTCCGGGTTCGATCCCGGTGTTGACAAAGAAAGTTCCTCGGGATTTTCAACCCAAGTAGACCTTTGTCAGTGTTTAAAAATCACATGATAATCGGGATGCCAAATAAAGAGTAGGACAATGTCGGAGCAAAAGATTCCCCTATAATACACTGCATGGAGGTATGAACGTCTTCATTAGCTCGCTAACCAGGAGGTCCTGTGTTCGCTCTGAGAAATCTACTTGGGATTTTCTGGCGTGGTGATGCAGGACCGAGGACCTGACGAAGAACAGTTTATAGTAGTTCGGATGGGACGAAAAACCGAGGTCCCGTGTACACGCTTGAGTGCACGGAAAAGAACCCTTGGCAGTTGGAAATCGAAATAAGAGTAGGTCCTAGTGCTGCATAAAAGCACACTGTATGGCGTTAACCAGTAGTAATATTCGCTTAAAGCGGCTCATCAACATTTGCATTTCCGGTCCAATATCTAATCCCCCCCCCATATTAATCAACGATCAAATATACTCAAATCGATTGTTTAACATTTGATTAAGATATGAAAACTAAAATATCAACGACAAATAATCTCTGATTCAATTACATTTAAAAGAAGCCGGTCAAAGATGTTTGCTGAACACTTACAGTGAGTTAGCGTGATTATATCGTCTGCAAGAGACACCTAATGTTGCGATATTTTCAATTCTTTGTAAATACGAACGGAATCGAACCTTTTTCGGTCTGATATTCATAGTATCTTAAAGTTTCGTCTTTTGGTGTACAAATATATGATTTTATTTCTATGCAATAGTGTAAATGTTTAAAAAGTATTGATCTTATTTTTGCATTCTTATTTTTCAGATGGCTATAAAAATGCTTATAACAAAGGGTAAAATGACATTAAGCGAAGTTCATCAAGCTATCGATCTGACCAAGTAACAGGAAATTATAGCGATGCTCATCATGACTTGCGCTTCGAGACTAGATAACTGCCCTGAATGGCAGCCATATTCAAAAAATGTATATTATTTTTAATGGGGTTCTACACTATCATAAACACAAAGACTAAATAAACTAAATAAACACTAATTAATCGTTGAATTAAAATGTCGGTCATCTAGCTTAGTGTCTGTTCTCAAGCAGAGCTGTTTATAAGCAGACAGCGTAAGTTGAGTATAATTCAGACTAACTTGATAAAGGGCGTGGCCAATGTATACCAGTTACATGGAACGTGAATAAGTGACTGGCATATTGCTCCACTCACTCCATTACCCAAGGGTAATCGTAACTATTTTGGTGTATGTGTCCCATAGACACATGTGTATCGACATGTTACCAAAAGGTTTACGTTTTTAAAGGTGGAAGGGAATGTGGGGTTGTATGCTATTCTTAGGCGCCAATGATGGTCGCTCCGAAAAGTTCTGCACGTTATGTGAATATCCTGTGCCTCTGAATTAACACGGGCGATAACCCCAGAAGGCATAAAACCAGTTACCCTGTAAATGGTACAATTGACTTTGTTTTGTAACGTACAGTTGAGTTGTTAATAAATATTTTGTGTTAATAAATAAATAATTTCTTCCTACTATATGGTATTGATAATCGGGACCAGTTTTCGACATGGCCACTATAACAGAGTGCAATGTTTTGTACAGGATATTGGGTGCCACGAGTATGGGGTAGACTCGCTTACTGGATCCCTGTGTTGACAAAGAAAGTTCCTCGGGATATCCCATGTTGAGTCTTGCCAGTGTTTAAAAATAACCTGATAATCGGGATTCCAAATAAAGAGTAGGACAGTGTCGGAGCAAAAGATTCCTCTATAATACACTGGGGGGGGGGGGGGGGCTGAATGGTTAGCGTGCGCGCGTTGTATCATAAAGTGTGTCATTGAGTCGACTGGCCTGGTTTCGAATCCCCGGTTTTACGTGACAAGGAGTAGGGTCGCCTGTCCAACCTCGTGGGTTTTCTCCGGGTCCTTCGGTTTCCTCCCACTGCTAAAGACCCCTATGCGCAAGCGAATTATTGAAATAAAATTAAACCATATGTTAGTCCCGAAATAACCTAGTTTGTGTTGAGTGAACGTTAAACCACATTTCTCTCTCTCTTTATAATACACTGCATGGAGGTATGAACGTCTTCATTAGCTCGTTCACCAGGACGTCCTGGGTTCGTTCCTGATGTAGTTCGAGAAATTTCCGGCGTGGTTATGCAAGACCGATGGCCTGACGAGGAAATGTGTTTAGTAGTTTGGATGGGTTTCGGATACACATTGGCGTGCACGTAAAAAGAACCACTGTCACTTGGAATTCGAAATAAGTGTAGGTCGTGCAGCATATCGTATCGTTGGATTTAGGACACTACCATCATGCAGTCACAATCTCTGTACCAGGTGTCCAATACCCTTCCCCCTCCTCTGGTTGGACTACGATAAACAGTGGATAGATAGATGAATATGAATTAAAACATTTTATTGATTAATTATAAATATTATAATAATGTCATTTTGTACAAAAAATGTATTGGAAATCTACTTTGTAGATGATGATTAATTTATTTTCCCTGTGCCAACGGGTCAGTCACCTTGGTCTTTCCTTCGAGACTCATGTTCACATAAGACAACGGGGAATAACGTAACTTGTTGGTATAAAATAGATATTACTGTAATATGTCACATAGGTGTCCTGATTAATGGTGGGCAAAATAAACACCCAATCTAGTGCGCAGTGGATCTTACACTATAGCTAAAGTTACTAGAAGGCCTAACAATAGAGAAGCTTCTGTGAATTGGATGGGATATGCATATGAATATTCATAGTTGAACCAGGTTTTGATGATAGGTATTCCCTTTGACAAAGTCATAACTATCTTCATCTAATAACTAGGCGTTGTGACTGGCATGCGCATACACCATTAAAACATGATGAGCTAAAAACTCAACTTGCCAGTGTCAGAAGTTGTGTATATAACAATAACAATATAGAGCAGTTTGATAGACACTAAAAAGATGGACACAGTGGCTTAGTATGTATGTCACTGGCCAAGGTTCTGACAATGAAAAGCCGAGGTCAACACGTGTACTTGTTTACATGCATGTAAAAGAATCGTGACAAGGAAAATGTATAAGTTTACAAACGCTTCCTGGAGTTATCACTGCATTTTGTACACAGAGAAATATCAACTTTGAGAATAGATCTGTGGCCTTAATGGCCGCCATATTCAAAAGTCATATGTAAGCCTATACTATTTATAATGCGGCTCTAATCTATTATACATCTTTCATACAACGAAGAATAAATAAGAAAATTCAATTTTATTAAATGGAAGCGGAATAAATACTTCTCAAAATTCGAGTACTTTCTATTAAAATGTGTCGGTTTAGAAATTAAAAGGTCGGCCAATTAGCTTTGTGTCTGTTCTCACACGCGGCTAATTGTAGACAGACGGCGTAACTTTCCTATAGTCATCACTATCACAATATAGGTACTACCCTACTCCTGATTTACTACCGATTATTATTTAACACACAACATAAATACACACACACACACACCCATACATACATAAAGAAAGTTAATCTATGTTTTCACTACAGCCTTTCGTATAAGCACCTTATATACTGTTTTATAAATGTAACTATTTTCAACTCCCCATAGTTAGTTATAAATGAGCAACATTTGTCTTCAATGTTTCTTCCAAGTTATTCCTAAAATACTTCCAGATATCACAACTGTCAAATTCTTTCTAACCAAAAAACCACAATTATCTTCCCTTGTATCACTTTCAGCCTTAAAACATATTTATCCCTCGTATCATAGCTGTTCATTTTCCTGGCCGACGTATTGGTCGTCTGCGACGTTTTTGTCCCGGCTTACCATGACGTTTCTCTTTACCCTGTTGCTTTTGGTCTTCCACAACTTGATACCGTCGAATTGGTTCCCTTTTCGAATCGGGTTTAGGTTTAGGCTTAGTCTTTTTAGAACAAGCACCTACGTCACAATACTGCCATTTTGTCGATCTTTTAGCCGTATAGCACCAAGGCCTTTTCTTTCTATTGCCTTTCGGGTTTCTGCAATAATTATGATCGCCCAGGCCATTACGGTCATCTTTATTATCGAACCTGGGAACAGTTGCATGTTTATGCGGATATTGTGACGACCATTTTTGGCAAGTGACCCCCTCTATAGTGTGATCTAATGTTCCCCTGTAATCGCGACCATCTTTATTCTTCAACTTTAAACATTTTCCTGTAAAACAAGAATTGAAATAAAAATTAAACCTAAAATGGTATAATTATCGAGCGGTAAAGGCAATTGAGTGGCGAATAGCCGAAAACAACCTTTGGAACTTGTAATTGCGCAAGGGATGGCATTTGAAAGAGAAAGGAAAGTATGCCTAGTCGTTTTGGGTATATGGGTGTCCTGGTAGACACAGAGTTCAACACGTATACATATTGGTGTTCAGTAAACAAATTTGTTACAGTTGGAATTCGACTAACAGTAAGTGGAAAGGCCAATATTTACTCCCCGGCATTGGACATGTTACAACAATAAATAATAATAGTCTCAAAATAATATAAATATTGTGTTGATGAAGCGCTAAACAATCCATTTATCTAGATAATCTTTGCCTCGCCCATCCTCAACATCAATGTGCATCCTGTGCATTCTCCAACGTAATGTAATGTTCAGAACCGCTGATCCAACAAGCCTTTTCCATAACCTTTTACTTCGCGGGCTACTTCTTGTTAAGAATCATTATCAAGTAAGTTATAAGATAAGTTTTATAACTGTATAGCCTTGGTATCACGGACATTATACCTTTGCATGATTTGCCAGACAATAGTAAAGGCCAAACTATAAAATTGCCATTTTGGGCCAAGAGAATTCGGTGAGAGAGAGGAGAGATTTTATCTCAAATGTAAATAAATTGTCTTATTTAACTAATAATCAGTTCCAACGATCTACTGAATGAAGTATTTATCAACAACTTAAAAAATGTCACGAACTTACGTTTTGCCCTTTTTTCACAGATGAAGGGATACATATAATATGGTAGTTGGACGAGTGATCCTGTCCATACACCATGCCAACTGATTTCATTGGTGTCACGATTTCTAGATAAAGCCATTGAAGTGAAGGTCCTGGGTTGTCCTTTGTCCCAGTTAGTGTAGGTTAACTTTCGGGGTTTCTTCTTCTCACCCCGATACCACATGAACGTACCGTTTACTAATTTACCTCCTGTTCTCCAAATGTAGACATTTTTATATTTGGATAAAGTGTGCGACTCCAGGAACCGTTCTTCTTTCAGACTGTTTATACTAACGAGGTCTGAACGTAAAGACGCGCATTTCCGCTGGGCTGCCGAGAATTGTACTTTAGGATGGTCAAAGAATTTGTAGCAGCTGGCTAAGTTCTTTATCCATCCTTTTGGGCAAGCTAAAATAAAAAGATACACACCTCAATTAACAGATTAAAAGCCAGTTGGAAAAAAACTAATTGTAACAAGATCCTTATTTCGTTCCAACCTGGATATATTGTTGATATAATCTCTTTGAAGTCTGATTTAAACCAATGTGATTAGCTAAAACCGTTATTGCCAATGAAAAAAACATCTTTGCATTGGCTAAATGAAGGTTCATGTCAGGTCAGTTTAACACAAAATTCTTAAAGAGATTGTTAGATATACAGTAGGTGGGGTGGGCTACAAAGCTTAAAGAGATGGCAACATCAAGTAGAGCAGCATGTGGTGGGGTGGAGGGGGGTGGGGAGAGTGGTTTGGGGGGATACAAACCTAGAGCATCCCCCTAAACCATAACAGATCGACACAAGTAGTCGAGCAACCAAAAAAGTGGGACGGTTCACAAAGCTAAACCGTAAAAAGATCGTTTTAACCAGGAAGGTGAGGTGGACTAAAAACTAAAGCATCCTTAAAAATCGATATGAAACTTCGTGGTTATATGAGATCTCCTGGTTATGATATCGAACAGGATATGAGAGTTAGGCTAGTTATTTACCTGTAGCTTTAGTATCTTCTTTCTGATTACATTGATACATATCTCTAACTTGTGCTATATCTATTGTACTCATACCATCTCTCTGTCCTATATCTAGATTTCTAGTTTTACCAACTCCTATAACCTATATAATATATATAAATTATAAAAATCAGTCTATCTCTAGATTTCTTATTGTTTGAACAGCCCCTAAGATCCTGTACTATATATAAAACTAGCTGTGTACGGGTAGGCCCAATGGAAAGATTGCAAAATCATATTCTAAAAAACAGGAATCAGCTTCGGCTCTCCTATGTCTTGTCTGCGATATCACTTATGTGGAAGCAGACGTTAAACACCAAGAACGAACGAACGAACGAACGAACGAACGGGTAGGCCAGTGAAAACAGAAGTAGGCTAACTCCATAACCGGAATTGCTGTGCAACGTCATCAAACCTTGGTCGCTCACCGGATCGGGCTGCTCTTCTGACATAGATATCGTATATTTCTATAGGATAGCTAGGCTTATACCACAAATTTCGACCGTGATTTAAACAGCAAACCCAAACAGACAAACAAACATACAGCATCAATCACATGTCCAGAGTAATTATAACATTAATTCACAAGAAGGGAAATGTTGCCCTGACAGCCACCACTTTTCTATCTAAAAATGGGTCCGTGCTAGCCAGGAAGTCAGGGAAGTGGACTCTCGACTAGAATGTTTCGGACAAGCAAAGTGTACAGAGTAGTTCGGATGGGACGAAAATAGTGGTCCGACCGCAACAAATCCCTTGATAGTAGTAAATCGAAGCAGAGTACACGGAAACGCCGCTGTAATGGCAAATGTCCCCGACCTTGCATTTGCACACGTAACCATTGGCATACAAATGGCGGTATTATGTCTGTGTCAATATAACACAAGTATTGTGCTGACCAGACGTCAAACCCCCTTCATTTCCTTTCTTTAACCGCGACCCAGGTGTGTTTTCCCATGAAAATAATGTCGGAAGCTTAAATTTGTAAGTACCAAACCCTAATAACTAACCTTTATAGTCTGTTCACCGTTTCTAGTAAAAGCAAACTGACTATAATGCATGATACTGTTATAATCGTATGGATAACCTCTAGCTGACGATACATTCCTATCTATCATATTAAAATCTGGTAAATATCTCGGTGATATGTTGCTTTTTATAATCTCTACATATTTATCACGATCTGATCTAGCCTGTAAATAAAAAAAAATATAATAATTTACGATGTATTTTGTCTAGGATAGGGATGGCCAACCTACGGCGCATGTGCCGTTACACCCCAGTGATGATAATAATTTAAGGCAGTAAGCCATGTTCTGGAATCACCCAGTAAAACTACTAATTAGATTTACAAGATGTAGAAGGGGGTACAAGAGTTGTATGGTGTATCTAAATTCGTGTGTGAACAAATTGGCGCATGGTATATAAAAGGTTGGCCACCCCAGGTACAAATCAAACGTGGAGTGGAATAAAGTGAAAGGGGTATTTAGCAGTGGGAGGAAACCGGAGAACCTGGAGAAAACCCAAGAGGTTAGACACGCAAACCTACTTCTTGTTACGTACACAAGTTGGATCGAAACCACACCACTTGATTCAATGACAAATATTACGACCTAAAGCGCAAGATGTTAGACCATTCTGCCACCCACCCCCCTTATACGACCAAATATAATTGGTCGGACAAATCTAATCACAAATCTAATGTACAAACTCGCTTGTACATTATACTATTTACCTGTTCGTACCAGATAAACCGAGGGATACATTATAATAGTTACCTGTTCGTGCCAGATACCGAGGGCATGCATTATTTCATGTACGGCTGTACCAAGATGTTCACATCCTCTACCCAGATTGATAATCTGTTCTCCACCTCGTCTACCCACATTAGACCAACAACTGAAAACAAAATCACATTCAATAAATTACACAACGTGTTACTATTACAGATTAAGCTAAAACCATTGTCATTGTCAGTCAGTAACTGCTAGTTCAGGAAAAACAGTTACGATTTTAAAAATATCGGCTTTGATTACAGACGTACTTAACACGTTTGTCTTTTAGTACATTAGCTGCTTTCGACGACATGGGCCGTTGCAGACGGGCCAACAAACCTGTTCAATACATATTGTTTTGTCAATTGAAACCTAGATACAGTTAGTGGTCTATGATGTTGTGAGCACTACTTAATATCATTATTACTTTCCAAAATATTCGAAAGATAGCAAAGAAAAAGGGGTTTAATATAGACTATGTCTGTTCCCTTATCCCTATTCACATACAAATCTGAATAAAAATATAAAAAACCCAAATACCAAACAGTGCCTAGGAATGCGTAGGTTAGATGTTCCAATATTTAATACTAATCAAACTCGGTGGCTATCCATATATGTAATATTTATCCCTTTTAGTGGGATATTCAGATGTAACACTAACCCCGATGGATGGACGTTCAGATATCTAATGGTAACCCCGCTTAGACGACATTCTGGTATGTAATGGTAACCCCGCTTAGAGGACATTCTGGTATGTAATGGTAACCCCGCTTAGAGGACAATCTTGTATGTAATAGTAACCCCGCTTAGAGGACAATCTGGTATGTAATAGTAACTCGTTTAGAGGACAATCTGGTATGTAATGGTAACCCCACTTAGAGGACATTCTAGTATGTAATAGTAACCCCATTAAGAGGACATTCTGGTATGTAATAGTAACTCGTTTAGAGGACAATCTGGTATGTAATAGCAACCCCACTTAGAGGACAATCTGGTATGTAATAGCAACCCCACTTAGAGGACAACCTGGTATGTAATAGCAACCCCACTTAAGAGGACAATCTGGTATGCAATAGTGGCCCGTTTAGAGGACATTGTGATATGTAATAGTAACTCGTTTAGAGGACATGGTATGTAATAGTAACCCGTTTAGAGGACATGGTATTTAATAGTAATCCCGTTTAGAGGACATTCTAGTACAGTATGTAATAGTAACCCCGCTTAGAGGACATTTGCGGTTGTACTGCTAACTCGACTGAAAGATGATCTATCTATTGCAGGGATTTCTTTAGGCCTTAAATGTTATAAAAATGATTAATTAGAAATTTATTAACTTGCCAAGGTCATAATCATCTCTCGATGTCATCGGATGTTCTCGATTTTCAACGGATTTAACCAAGATTGTCGGTTAATGATTTAATTTAAAAAAGGATAATCGAGACTTTGTTTACTATCGTAACAATGGTAGCAATGACAATTGAAACTGCTCTATTGTCCAAACATCTCTAACGTCACCAAGAATGAAGTAATTTGACTGAAATTTTCAAGATTATCTAAATCGTACATAATGCATCTTTAAGAGAGTATACAGATATTGAAATACTAACCCCGCTTCACTTTTAAAAAGTACATAATGTTTATCAGATTTTTTCTTCTTTTTAAAACGAACACAAGTATTTTCTTGTATATGAGCCATGGCTTTTAATATCCATTTTTTCGCCACAGGATCTGAAAGGGGTAAATACATATTAACAGAACTTGAGTAATCTTAGTATTCAAAACATCCGATACATTGGGACTTTGGCATATCCCGTCTTCATTAGCCAAGTCGGTGTAGAAAAGTAGGACGTTAAACCCCATGTCGTTTCATTTATACTTTGGCATATTTACCTGGTGAACTCCACGTACTATGATAACGGCGAGAGTATCCTTGCTGAAACGTTGTAGTTCTATTGAATGTTATCTATAAAGCTGTCTGTTATTATATTGATTTCAATAAATGCCCTTTAAAGATACTATATTGAAGTTGCAGCTAAATATATTTACGAAACTTACTAATTTCATTAACTATAAGATACGGTACAATCCCATCTTTCCACAATCGACTTTTCACACGGATTGTGGCTCTTTTTCTTCTCCGTCTTATTTGATAATCATGATATATATATTTTTCTGATACTTGATCTAATATGATGTCACCTTGAAAGAACACTGTGTTAGCTGAAATATAAAGAAATCATGACGTAACTAGTCCACGTCGAACTATAAAAGCGTTGTCCGACCAACACAAAATTGCATTCGCTTGCCGCTGACGTATATAAAATATGGCATTGCAAAGTATGCAATGATGACACTGATCGTCATTTCCATCTAATCTATCCAAACTTAATCCACGCTAATATAATAATAAACCCTAGTTGACTATTCCAATGTAATAAAGAAGAGAAAATAGAAATATCAAAGGTGTAGATATCAGCTTGGGTTCAACCGGATTGCATTTTACAGTGTAGACCTGGGCCAAGTTTCTCGAAATCTTAACTAAAGATAAAATCCAAATTTTAGTAGATACTTCAATTTTGATTGGCTAAGCACTAAAATCAATCTAATATTATCCAATCAAATTACTAAAATGTGGATTTTATCTTAGTTAAAATTTCGTGAAACAGGCCCCTCGTGGTATATCATTGATATCTATTGGGCCATAACCCCATATAGCTACAATATTGTCGTGCTAATCGCCACAATTGATTCAGTCTAAGAGGCTTTGCGCAAGTAAAAATAGGTTCAAACGCACAATTCTCAATACATATCATTACAGTTTGTATTGAAATAAGTAATTCTATCAGAAATAGTGATGACTGCACCACTAAAATAGTTACCGAACAGTTTTTCTTTGTGGTAATGCGTTCTACATTTTCGAAGCGATACTTCTTATAATGTACAAGCGGCCCTGACACCACCCAGGCGAAATCTCGCCAAATATCGCACGCGTTAACCCCGCCCACCGCTTCCCTGATAAGGCAGTGTTACTACGCGTTTTTACTATAGAAGCTATATATGGAAAGTGACGTATGATCACGTGAGACGGAGCGCGCATGCTATTTCTGACTGGGCGGAGATTTTAAGTTGGATAGGAGAGAAATTTCGCGTAGCAGTTGGGTTTCATCAAATCATATACATATGCGGTAAGGCTTCACCTTTATTTCAATGGGAAATGGTGTATTATATGTTAAGCTATGTGCGGTACAGTTTGGGGTCAGTTTATGTGGAAATTAAGGGACCTATAGACTAGTAACGTTTTTATAGTCATTTGACTAAAAAAAAACTTGCTCAAAGAAACTGCTTAGAACGATTCATAACTGTAACTGGAGTAAGACATCGGTAGAGCACCATTTCTAAACCCCATATTGTAGCCCGTCTTCATTATCCCAGTTGGTGCATACGTTTAACCCCGTTTCATGTCACTTCATATTGTCGCTGACCAACTGTTGGTTTCAGTGGCAATCGTTCTGTTTCTTGTCTATTCTAAAGCTGTTTGATATGTACATTCAGCCTCTGCTTATCTCCACGTCAGTATCTGTAGACTATATATTCAGATGTTCAGATGGTTTTACGAGGATATGATTTTTATTTATTAAGTTTTGGGTTCAAAGCGTGTAGTTATTTATCACACTGACCTGTTCCACGTGGTCTATAATCACCTCTTCCGGTTTCATCAGCTTGTTTACATAAAGATGGCGGACAAATACCTAAAATTATAAAATTACGTTTATTCATAACATTTAATAATATCTGGAGATGTTGAAGGCAGTAGGACCCCTCAGGGGGGTCTATGTCGTGATTAATGTCCGTGCGGTCACGAACGGTTGATTCCAACGACAAACGAACTGTTTGCAAGAAGAGTACGCAAACTGTAGATTATGGTGCTAGCATCACCGGTAGAAAAACTGTCGAAATTTCAAATACCTTCGTAATATTACCAATAAAAATTCGGTGTTAATTACCCCGGGTATTGTCTACATGAAGTAATCGATTTATTGTTTATCAATAAATTTATCTTGTTCTTCAGACAAACCTACTTGGTTTGATTGGACGATAGATACTGAGTGAAGTAAATGTGTCATATTTATGGTTTGTTGAGATAACACATATTGAGTATTTAATGAGGAATAAAGGCAGCGTGTACACTATCAACTTCTCGATATCATAGAGTATAAACCTGGGGGACCAGTGTTCGATCCCCGTGTGTGTTGACCGAAAAATGAAATGAAATGAAATGGTGTTTAACGTCCTACTGTTCTGCTCCTAACCTGGGCTAATGAAGACGGGCATACGCCATACAGTGTGCTATGAGGGAAATTTTTCCCGGGCAGCGGCGCTACGGTCTACTCTTATATCGAATTCCAACTCCCAAGGGATCTTTTACGTGCACGTCAATGTGTAAACGGGACCTCGGTTTTTCGTCCCATCCCAACGACTAGACAGATGTCCTTGTCAGGCCCTCCATCCTGCATCACTGGCAAGGGGGAACCAAGCCGGAACATCTGGATGAACTTTCTGGGCCAATGCAGGGATCGAACACCCGACCTCCAGTCTGGGCGCAAAGTCTTACCCACTTAGCCACGTGATCCCCCGTTAATCGAGAAAGTTCATCGGAATTTTCTGGCGTGGTTCCCGCCTTGTCAGTGATGCAGGGTCTGGTCGTCTGGCTTTTGAGGCGAAAAAGCGAGGACCGGTGAACACTTTGGCGTGCACGTAAAAGAACCCTTGACAGTTGAAAATAGATATGAATGGACCATAGTGCGGCTGTCGCAAAAGTTCACTCATAGTACACTGTATGGCGTATCATGGTGCAGAACAGTATTAGGACGTTTAACCCCATTTCATTTCATTAACCCATGACTGGATCCTTAAGTGTCGATCAGTACCGCTGATGTGTAACGAAGAATGATGCAAAAAAATCTGCAGTGTTCGTAAGGATATAATTGTAGTTTTATTTATGTAAGTGCACCGCCCGTTCAATTTTAATACAAACATAGCTAGAACTGTTGATAGCCCAATCCTCACTTTAAACACCTTTAAACGCCAACAAAGGTATTGAATTATTTAATACAATGATCATTGAAATAAGTGAGAAATATCGTCCTCCTGACAAGGATTATGTAAGAATACTGTATCATCATTGAAATAATTATGTCTGTAATCGTTTATACACGGAGATACCTCGCATTCTTTTACAACATACTTAAACAGCTGTTAATAGTATCTAAAGAGGGGGTGTCTCCATGTAATGTTTATATTTTTTTTTAGATTCTCCACCGTCCGATTTTTTTTCAAAAATAAAACATTTATATGTTTTAGAGTCAATTGATTTTTTTTTAATATAAAACTTTTTTTTTTGTGTCAAAGCCACGGAGCCCGATGCCGTGTATGGGCTGACCGCACTACTTTCTCTCCCAGTAAAAAAGCTTACTGGCATATATATAGTAAGGAGGCCGGTATAAAATTGTTTTCCGAACTAATGAGTGATAATTTCTGATTATTGTTATCTTCGGATAGTTCAGAGAGATTGGATTAGACTAGAACAGAACGAATAGAATAGGTTATACTGTACGATTCGAGACGATTTTCTGCTTGAATTAAATTAAGAGAAATACATGTAGCATCCCTTTAAAAAACAACTGTTCGATAAACAATCGCCGATTCTTGAAGTAATAAATTATAAAACGGTCTGTATTGAAATTTAGTTTTGGCGCCAGTTTCTGTTTTAAATTTTTTATGGCATTATTGGAGGATTAGACCGACCAATCCCCTTTTGTCTTACATATCATAACGGTATAGTTTACAACACACTTATTTACGTTTTTATTTGTTTCAGATTTTTTTGTTTTCTTTTTGTTTGGCGCGTGGGTGAGCTTGGTGGTTGGCACACCCCGGATGGTGTTTGAAAATTCCTCATAATAGAAGTGTTTTCCGGATGAGCATTGAATTTGTACTGCGGTTCGTTCTTTATAATTGATAAAAATAGAAATTGAAAATATGCAAGGAATGCAGATAATTGTACAGTTATTACATCTCAAAACTAATTAAATTTATCAACAAAGATAATTTTTAGGGTTAAAAAATGTCCGCCTATACAACGATAAATAGATCTACGCCCCTTTATTCAGTTCAAATACATTGGATGAATAACAAAGATATTTGAATGATATTTGAAATATTTTACAGTTTTTATAACTTCTAAAACAAAACTGCACCTATGTAAATATTTCTGAAAATGAGCAGATATTTCATCATGTAATATTTTCATCATTACCGTTTTGTCTAGTAAATAGGGTAGACGGAAAATAGAATGGGGTGTAACGTCCTACATTTTTATCCCATCCGAACCACTATATACCCCAGATCCCCCGTTCTGCACAACTGGACATAGGGTAATCACACCGGAAAACTCCGAGGAACTTTCTCGACCAATACCTTGACCCCCAAGCCGAGACCGGCTGTTTGGCCAACTAGCGCTTTGTAAAAGGAGAAGGATCCTAAAATAAGTGAAATCCACGTCTGTCATGAAATAAGGTCATTCTTAATCTGCCTTTCTCGTTATTTATTTAGTTAAGAAACTGAGATGAACGGATAACACGGAATGAATAAAGAACTTCTAACGTTTCATAATAGGTAAACTTTATAAATACACCTCTTTTATTGCCTAAAAAAATCTCCTTGTAGATGGTTTAATAACATTAACCGAATTTTTAACATGACCTATAAAAATGAAATAATGTGGTTTCGCTCTAGATGCATGAAGATTTTGTAAAGTAAATATGGAAAATGTGAACTATGTACATAATGATGCTGAATAAGGTGTAACGGTATGCAGTACGTTCGGCGGGGAGAGGTTTGAAATGAAATGAAATTTAATGGGGTATTATACCTAAGTTTTTGCAACGACTGGGCTAATGAATATACAGGTTACAATTCTATGGAATACAATTACCGCTTATTGCTTGATAATGACTAGAGAAGCCTAGTCGAAACGTCGCTCAGTAATAAGCAGTAATTATGCTCCATAGAATTGTGACTAGTATATTCCAGTTCAATTACTAAATGCCATTGAAACAATATGCTATGAGGGAGATTTTGCCCGGACAGAGCGGCTCTACTGGCTACTGTCAAGACCTCAGATTTCGTTCAATCCAAACGACTAGACTAGTCCTTGATGCCGCCCCACCCCCCACGCACTCTCAACGAAACGTCCATGTGCAAATCTCACTTGAAATTCTTGGTCGTGTTACAAAGTGAAGAATTCGATAGCTATTAAGTATACTCTTGAAAATTGAAACATAATTCGCTTGTTACCACCTTGCCACAAGATTAAACCATTTCTATTCACATTAAACATAATCTTTTTAATAGAATATGTTAATGGGTAACAAGGGTGGTCCGTGTCGTTCACAGAACATTTCTAATTGTGTCTTTTCTTTTCTCAGTTTAAACATGTCGTGGATATTCTACACTGTCAACCTTTTTGTCGTTAAAATCCACAATTGTCTAGAATTACGACTTCAAATGATAGACTTTCTTTTATTTCCATAAAGCAAGTTGTTATATTAAAGGAGCTAAACCTCTAACATCCATAATATGAGAAATTAAAAACACGAATTAGAATTCAATATTGGTCCATTTCATTCCATATTAATGTTGTTATCTTACTGTAAAAATATAGGATCCTAACATCCAATATTTAAGACACAATAACATTTTAAAATCAGTACACGACGACGATAACTCTATGGAGATAACGACTTCAAGCGCCTTTTGTAATGAAGAAAGAAAACATGCCCCAGAAGACAATGCGGAAGTATTTAAAAATGAATGATTCACAAACGACAACATAGTTTTAAAAAATGGACCAAGGAGGCGCAAACCACTGTCATTCAACTTGGACTGTTTCGTATTTTACAGAACATGATTAGAAATTACATCATGTACAGTAAATATTTTAAAAAGTAAATCACTTTATATACACTCATATTACATTAATATGTGCGCTTAGACCCGTTTTCATCTATTTTAAGGTTCCTCATCGCCTAAATCATTTATTAATTATGCACTAAATACTGGTGGCAAGATTCAATAAATTTAAATGAACATACTGTAATGTCGATATCGATTTCGGTTTCTTCCGTCAACAAGGAGCAGAACCTATATAGGCTATGTCTAAAGTTTTAATTCTTTAGGTTATTTGTATCTAGAAATCCAAGAAGAGTGTGCGGAAATGGTACTCTTAAAGCAAAATTACCATTTTAGTCTCAATAGCTGAGGTATTAAATATTGGGGAAAATGGGATTTAACTTCCACTCGACACATACCGGATCATTTCAAGACTACCATAACTTTATTAAATAAATAATAAAAGGGTTACATTTTACTTTTGACCTTTAAATATCTGTGTCGGTTTTCTGTTAAAATACTCCCCATTAACTTTAAAGTAGAGTTCATGACACGAGGTCAATTAGTTCATGAGTTTTTAAGAAATAAAAAAGTATTCTTTGTTAATATTATTGTATTGTTGTTTCCATATGATGTGGGATAAATCATAGCGTAAAGGAGGCAAGTCGCTAACTCTGTATTATTCACAGTCTTCGACATTTCAAACGCGACTTATTGATCAATTTAAATCAACATTGATGTTGTTATATTACCGTGAAAACATGGGCTTCTCATATATCCAATATTTAAGACAAAATGA